ACACCATCCGCAGCACACACACCATCCGCAGCACACACACCATCCGCAGCACACACACCATCCGCAGCACACACACCATCCGCAGCACACACACCATCCGCAGCACACACACCATCCGCAGCACACACACCATCCGCAGCACACACACCATCCGCAGCACACACACCATCCGCAGCACACACACGAACCATCCGCAGCACACACACCATCCGCAGCACACACACCATCCGCAGCACACACACCATCCGCAGCACACACACCATCCGCAGCACACACACCATCCGCAGCACACACACCATCCGCAGCACACACACCATCCGCCAGCACACACACCATCCGCAGCACACACACCATCCGCAGCACACACACCATCCGCAGCACACACACCATCCGCAGCACACACACCATCCGCAGCACACACACCATCCGCAGCACACACACCATCCGCCAGCACACACACCATCCGCAGCACACACACCATCCGCAGCACACACACCATCCGCAGCACACACACCATCCGCAGCACACACACCATCCGCAGCACACACACCATCCGCAGCACACACACCATCCGCAGCACACACACCATCCGCAGCACACACACCATCCGCAGCACACACACCATCCGCAGCACACACACCATCCGCAGCACACACACCATCCGCAGCAACCCCGCACACACACCATCCGCAGCACACACACCCATCCGCAGCACACACACCATCCGCAGCACACACACCATCCGCAGCACACACACCATCCGCAGCACACACACCATCCGCAGCACACACACCATCCGCAGCACACACACCATCCGCAGCACACACACCATCCGCAGCACACACACCATCCGCAGCACACACACCATCCGCAGCACACACACCATCCGCAGCACACACACCATCCGCAGCACACACACCATCCGCAGCACACACACCATCCGCAGCACACACACCATCCGCAGCACACACACCATCCGCAGCACACACACCATCCGCAGCACACACACCATCCGCAGCACACACACCATCCGCAGCACACACACCATCCGCAGCACACACACCATCCGCAGCACACACACCATCCGCAGCACACACACCATCCGCAGCACACACACCATCCGCAGCACACACACCATCCGCAGCACACACACCATCCGCAGCACACACACCATCCGCAGCACACACACCATCCGCAGCACACACACCATCCGCAGCACACACACCATCCGCAGCACACACACCATCCGCAGCACACACACCATCCGCAGCACACACACCATCCGCAGCACACACACCATCCGCAGCACACACACCATCCGCAGCACACACACCATCCGCAGCACACACACCATCCGCAGCACACACACCATCCGCAGCACACACACCATCCGCAGCACACACACCATCCGCAGCACACACACCATCCGCAGCACACACACCATCCGCAGCACACACACCATCCGCAGCACACACACCATCCGCAGCACACACACCATCCGCAGCACACACACCATCCGCAGCACACACACCATCCGCAGCACACACACCATCCGCAGCACACACACCATCCGCAGCACACACACCATCCGCAGCACACACACCATCCGCAGCACACACACCATCCGCAGCACACACACCATCCGCAGCACACACACCATCCGCAGCACACACACCATCCGCAGCACACACACCATCCGCAGCACACACACCATCCGCAGCACACACACCATCCGCAGCACACACACCATCCGCAAGCACACCACCATCCGCAGCACACACACCATCCGCAGCACACACACCATCCGCAGCCACACACACCATCCGCAGCACACACACCATCCGCAGCACACACACCATCCGCAGCACACCCACCATCCGCAGCACACACACCATCCGCAGCACACACACCATCCGCAGCACACACACCATCCGCAGCACACACACCCTCCGCAGCACACACACCATCCGCAGCACACACACCATCCGCAGCACACACACCATCCGCAGCACACACACCATCCGCAGCACACACCACCATCGCAGCACACACACCATCCGCCAGCACACACACCATCCGCAGCAACACACCATCCGCAGCACACACACCACCGCAGCACACACACCATCCGCAGCACACACACCATCCGCAGCACACACACCATCCGCAGCACACACACCATCCGCAGCACACACACCATCCGCAGCACACACACCATCCGCAGCACACACACCATCCGCAGCACACACACCATCCGCAGCACACACACCATCCGCAGCACACACACCATCCGCAGCACACACACCATCCGCAGCACACACACCATCCGCAGCACACACACCATCCGCAGCACACACCCCATCCGCAGCACACACACCATCCGCAGCACACACACATCCGCAGCACACACACCATCCGCAGCACACACACCATCCGCAGCACACACACCATCCGCAGCACACACACATCCGCAGCACACACACCATCCGCAGCACACACACCATCGGCAGCACACACACCATCCGCAGCACACACACCATCCGCAGCACCACACACCATCCGCAGCACACACACCATCCGCAGCACACACACCATCCGCAGCACACACACCATCCGCAGCACAACACCATCCGCAGCACACACACCATCCGCAGCCCACACACCATCAGCAGCAACACACCATCCGCAGCACACACACCATCGCAGCACACACACCATCCGCAGCACACACACCATCCGCAGCACACACACCATCCGCAGCACACACACCATCCGCAGCACACACACCATCCGCAGCACACACACCATCCGCAGCACACACACATCCGCAGCACACACACCATCCGCAGCACACACACCATCCGCAGCACACACACCATCCGCAGCACACACACCATCCGCAGCACACACACCATCCGCAGCACACACACCATCCGCAGCACACACACCATCCGCAGCACACACACCCATCCGCAGCACACACACCATCCGCAGCACACACACCATCCGCAGCACACACGCCATCCGCAGCACACACGCCATCCGCAGCACACACGCCATCCGCAGCACACACCCCATCCGCAGCACACACACCATCCGCAGCACACACACCATCCGCAGCACACACACCATCCGCAGCACACACACCATCCGCAGCACACACACCATCCGCAGCACACACACCATCCGCAGCACACACACCATCCGCAGCACACACACCATCCGCAGCACACACACCATCCGCAGCACACACACCATCCGCAGCACACACACCATCCGCAGCACACACACCATCCGCAGCACACACACCATCCGCAGCACACACGCCATCCGCAGCACACACGCCATCCGCAGCACACACGCCATCCGACGCCATCCGCAGCACACACGCCATCCGACGCCATCCGCAGCACACACGCCATCCGCAGCACACACGCCATCCGCAGCACACACACCATCCGCAGCACACACACCATCCGCAGCACACACACCATCCGCAGCACACACACCATCCGCAGCACACACACCATCCGCAGCACACACACCATCCGCAGCACACACACCATCCGCAGCACACACACCATCCGCAGCACACACACCATCCGCAGCACACACACCATCCGCAGCACACACACCATCCGCAGCACACACACCATCCGCAGCACACACACCATCCGCAGCACACACACCATCCGCAGCACACACACCATCCGCAGCACACACACCATCCGCAGCACACACACCATCCGCAGCACACACACCATCCGCAGCACACACACCATCCGCAGCACACACACCATCCGCAGCACACACACCATCCGCAGCACACACACCATCCGCAGCACACACGCCATCCGCAGCACACACGCCATCCGCAGCACACACGCCATCCGCAGCACACACACCATCCGCAGCACACACACCATCCGCAGCACACACACCATGAGCCATGGCTCTTCCAGGTGTGTGTGTGAGCAACATCCACGGTACAGCATACACACACACACCATCCGCAGCACACATACCATGAGCCATAGCTCTTCCAGGTGTGTTCATGTGCACGTAAGCTTGTCCACCGAGAATACACACGCACACCATCCAAAGCACATGCACGCACGCACACACGCACGCACGCATGCACGCACGCACGCACGCACGCACGCACGCACGCACGCACGCACGCACGCACGCACGCACGCACGCACGCACGCACGCACGCGTGTCCTTCCATCCATCTGACCCCTCCCCTTGCAGCTCCTGTCTCATTCGGGATGGCAACTTCTGTGGAGAGGAGCTGCTCTCGTTGGGTCTGTGCCACTCCCCTGACACCAACCAGCTGCCCTCCAAACCAGCCCTCCCTGTGCTCCCACACTCCTCCCCTTGAGCTCCTGTCTCATTCAGGATGGCCATTTCTGCGGCGAGGAGCTGCTCTCGTGGGGGCTAGGGCGCTTCCCATCCCGCACACCAACCAGCTGTTGAGGCGCCTCAACCTGCTTCCTCTCACTAACTAGTGCTACCCTCCCTCTCCCTTCCACCCTCTCTTTCGCGCCTTTCCTCCATCCTCCCCACCTCTGCAGCTGGTGTCTCATCCGTGACGGCCTTCCCCTGACACTAACCACTTCCCTGATCTGATTACTCCCAGCTTCACCTCTCTCATCAACTGTGCTGCCCTCCCTCCGTCTTCGCAGCTCCTGTCTCATCCGCGACGGCAGCTTTTGTGGAGAGGAGCTACTCTCATGGGGGTGGGGCATTCCTTGGCACAACCAGCTTATGGGGAGGGGACGTGCCTCAACCTGCGCTTCCACTCACTAATCTCTGCTACTCTTCCATCCATCTGCCTGCCCCCCGGCCCTCTGTCGCCTCAGCTCCTGTCTCATCCGGGATGGCTATTTCTGTGGCGAGGAGCTGCTCTCATGGGGGCCTGGGCCACTCCCCTGACACCAACCAGATTCTAAGGCGTGCCCTTCCATCCATCTGTCCCACCTCCCCTCCCCTGGCAGCTCCTGTCTCATCCGGGATGGCTATTTCTGTGGCGAGGAGCTGCTCTCATGGGGTCTAGGGCACTCCCCTGACACCAACCAGCTGCCCTCCGCTACAGCCACTCTCACCACAGTCACGGCGGTTGAGGGCTTTGTGCTGGAGGCTGAAGACCTGCTGTTCGTTACAACACACTTCAAGGTAACCACCTGATCTCGAAGCACGGTAACCGCAGCCACAATCACTACAGTTGAGCAAACACAGGGCTTCAGGCACACCAACCAGATGCCTTCTGCTGCAGTCACAGCTGTCGAGGGCTTGGTACTAGAGCCTGAAGATCTGCTGTTTGTGACAAAGCACTTCAAAAGGTAACTCCAGGGCTAGCACCACATCAACCAACCACCCTCCGTCCTCTACAGCCACGGCTGTTGAGGGCTTTGTGCTGGAGGCTGAAGATCTGCTGTTTGTGACAAAGCACTTCAAGGTACAGGGAAAGGTGTCACGACGGGCTGTCGTGCTCTCTGCTCCCTGCCTGTACAACCACTCTCACCACAGTCACAGCCGTCGAGGGCTTTGCCACAAATTGAAGACCTGCTGTTCGTGACAAAGCACTTCAAGGTAAACCCTCCACGGACCCTCCATTGCACTTCAGGGGCTTTTTTTCTGGGGCTTGGGACACAGGTACCAGCTGGTAGAAACTGTCCCTGGTACAGCCACAGTCACTACAATTCGGGTAAACATGCGGCTTTAAGCACAGCTTTCAGATGCCTTACACTTCTTATTTTACCCCTCTCCCTCCCTCCCTCCCTCCCTCCCTCCCTCCCTCCCTCCCTCCCTCCCTCCCTCCCTCCCTCCCTCCCTCCCTCCCTCCCTCCCTCCCTCCCTCTCTCCCTCCCTCCCTCCCTCCCTCCCTCTCTCCCTCCCTCCCTCCCTCCCTCCCTCCCTCCCTCCCTCATGCCTGTCTCCCTGCCTTCTTAGCTGCCTGCCCTTCTCCCCCCTCGCCCACAGTTCAACTGGAAGAGCCAGCGAACTCAGCAGCGGGTGCGCGCTACCGCTCGCCTCTGAAGGATCACAAAAAGTTTCTGCCTGCCGGTCTCTGCGCCTTCCTCCCTCCCTCCACCCACAGTCATCTAACGGAGCTAGCGCATTCAGTGGTGGGTGCGTTACTAATCACTCGCTGCACTGGCGATCTCTGAGGGTCTTTCAACAATTTCTGCCTCCCTATTTCCCTCCATCCCTCCCTGCCGGCCTCCCTGCCCTCCTCCCTCTGTCCGCAGTTCAACTGGAAGAGCCAGCGCATTCAGAGGTGGGTGCGCTACTACTCGCCGCACTGGCGCACGTGGGCGGCTCTCACCATCCAGATCGCGTGGCGCCGCCACGTGGCACGGCAGCACGCCACGTCACTGCAACGGTCGCTCGATGCTCATGCTGATGTGGATGTGCGCGGTGGCCAGCTAACCATTGACACTCCCTCGGGCGCTCCTCCCACATCTGCTGCCACTGCCCCTGCCCCTGTCCCTGCCACTGCCACTGCCACTACCATTGACACTCCCACCATGGCCCCTATCAGTAGAACAGCCCCTTTGGACCCTGCTCTAACTACAACAGCTGGAGGTAACGGTGGGGGTGGGACAAGGCTGGGCCGCCCGAGGATGGATGCAGACGAGATAGAAGCGCTACAGAGGCGTGACCGCATGAGGCTGTATAGTGCGATTTTCTCATCGTCCAAGCCCCGCGGCTCCATGGACAAAAATTCCTAGCTAAATCATAGGCGATGGACTAGCTGTCCCCCGGATTGCATGTTGGCACTGGCATTTGCAAGTCTGACAGCACATGAACATGCGTTTTTAACTGTAACCAGTATTTCTTCGTATCTGATAAAGTGGTGCACTTCGATAAGGTAGTTGGAGTCTTATGATTTTCATTTCACACCCCGCATAAATCGTAGCATTGCGTCCTCACATGGAGATTCGATTCTTGGTTGAGATGCGGCATGAGGAAGAAGTGGGAGGGGGGGGGTTGTGTGGGAGAAGCGAGTCATTACAGTACACCCTCTTTCTCGACCTTCTCACCAGCGCGTATTTGGCAAGCTGATTTTGTTCTATTCAAAATGCCTTATTCAACCATACCAAAACATTGTTAACCGTTCTCAACCATGCTGTGTTTTTCCTGCAAGTTCGTATAGCCGATGTCAGTCTAGCGAGAAAGAGAGTGTACACTGATCACCACACCACACTTGATGCAGCATCCGCGTACAGTACACGCATATGGTCCACGACTACAGTGACACAGTCGGAGCAAGCCATTTGAAGAGCACTCTGTGAGTGTACTTGAGTGTACACTGAGCCCAGTGGCCTGCTAAGCGTACAGTGTACAAGGTGGTGCAGGTCCAACGTGAAGTTTTCCAAAAACACCTTTGTAGCTGCCCACGGATGCCAAATTGTTGGACCAGAAATGCATATGGATCAGTTGCAAACAAAATATTTTAGGCCCATCCCATCCCAACAATATTGCTTGGCATCCTCAAGGTATCCTGGACTGGGCTGCCCAAACAGCTCCGTCTACACCAGACTCCGTGGGAAATGACTTCCGCGTTGTGACCCAGAGGGTAACCCGCGATGTGCCCACTCGAAACCGAAAGTGTGCACACAGCGTCGCCACGCCAGCAAGAGGAGTTGTGTTTGCGGTGCTTCGCAACAATGCTTGGTCGCACAAGTGTTTTTACTGATTTTCATTCTACCCTCCCTGACAGTTGGTCCTGGTGGGAAGAAGCTGGTTCGCACACTTGTCCCAATTCAAGCAACAAAGCAGGACACTTCATTCCCCTCCGGACACGACAGTCACATATTCCTCCACGTGCGTAAACGAGCTATAGACTTAATCATTTGGTGAGCAGTTGCGGAAACCAGCACTTACGGAGCAGCTTTGCCTTTCCCGATACACCAGTAATGTTGTCATAAAATCCCAAGGAGCCCAAAACGAGGGCTAAAAATCATGCCGAAAAGGCACGTGCGATCATCCAGACTCACACAAACGTGCGATCATCCTGACAGACTCACACAAACGGACTGTTGCGGAAATTTTGACCGTACTACACTAATTGTTTCAAGCTTTACTGACGCCGATTGAATACGCCAGACATGTATAGAGGCCAGCGCAGAAATTATTGTATGTTGAAACCAGGCCTAAACCATCACTATTCAGAGCCTAATTATAAAAGCTGGAGAATTATGTAACCTGTTATAGCTCTTATGCAACCAATGCTTATGAAAAGTACGCAACAAGCAAGTGAAGGGTATGTCGCAAGTGTGTTACAGTATATGGGCGGGAATGAGCATGGGACCGACTTTCCATAAGTGTGTGTGTAGTGTAGTTTATGTGGGCAGGAATTCTGGAACATGCCAGCAACAGTTGCCCAACTCTCGTCGTCCCCACCACCCACTTGTTGGAATCGTCGTGGATACATCTGATCAAAGGAGAAACGTTTTGAAACAGTATTTTGCCATCCCGTTGAGCAGGTTGCTTACAGTTTGTGACAATTTCTGCCCTTTGGATTCATGTGAAACCTCCCTGTGTGTGCATCCAACATGAAGAGAAGTACGTGTACAGCATAGAACAGACATGTGTTTAGCTGGTTAAACAATTGTAGACGACACACAGCTGCCATTCTGCGAGATGGAGCGCTCTGTCGAAGCCTTTGCTTGTGTTTTCAGTGTTCACGATTTATGTGAGCCGGATCCATCGTATAACAGTGTATTTCTGTTTTTGGCACTTAACCCTCCGACTCAAGACATCGCTAGTACATTGTTGTGTCGACCACATCCATATTCGTTCCACTTCGTTCACGGCCTGGCACTTGATTTACCCCACAAAGTATGTGTCTAACTAGCTGAAACCATGAACGAGAATATTTGTTTTGTGGGGTAGGATCTTGAGGGTCCCCACGTTGATGACAGGGCCTTGGAAACGCGCTTTCTCTTTTATACAGTGTACCAACTCGTTCTTGCAATGATTACAGTGAAGTTCTCCTGGCTGATAGTGTACAAAAGTGTCCATCCCCACTCGTTGCTGTGCTGTACTTTGTCGCGGCACAGTCTGTCCGTAGCTACGAGACCACCGTGTTCTCCTTCCCCTAGCAGCTGCTGCTGTTCTTGCGTCAATGTGTTTAGGTATCACCTTCCAGAAATTACACAAATGCGCTACATTTCAGAAAATACATATGTTACTTTCCAGTTTTAATCAGCGTACTATCAGATCTCCGCTTAGCTAAATCTTGGGTCCCAATGGGCAAGTCACGTTTGGGACGTTTCTGGGACGTGTAATTCCTACCGCTGCTAACCTTTTGGGTACCACCCGAATTGTCCGTGTTATAGATTTTGTTCTCCAAAAACGCATGCTTCCTCAACGTACTCTATTGCTCAACCTCCTACCCGGCGAGGTGGATTACGATCGACAGCCGGGTGTGGGTACACCAAAGGGGGCCGTCCCCCTTTACCTCCATTGCTGCAGGGTAAGTGTGCCTTCCACCTCTTCCACCAGCTTCACCATTTCCGACCTTGGTCTTGCACAACCACCACCCTAGCTGAAAGTATAGCCTCCATGGCGCGTTAAAGAATTTCAGTCCACACAAATGTGTGTCGGAAGGTACAGCATCCTTAGGCACACGCAAACCTTTGCACAATCGAGGCCCCTGCACTTACCTGCTTTCACAATGAGAATGACAACCGACGATGCATCTATACTTAGCGACGAGCGGCAAAACCTAGACTTAGGAACTACAGCCGAAATGGCGGTCAATAAAACTCACACTCATTCCGAATGCCTCCCGCTTACTTCCGCGGAAAACGGTGACATTGCCTCGCCTCCCCGTCCCAGTCAGCCAGAACTACGAAAATCCTCTAGCAAACGCTCAGCTGCTTCAATGCTAGAAGGATCGGACGGCCATGGATCCAGGACGGATGGATCAACGCATAGCACGAGGAGTGCTAGCAGCGCGCCGAGCGGGAGTCATGCAGCGGCGGCTGACGCAGGCTTTGCCGGTGCCGCTGCGGCGGAAACACACAATGCAAGGTGAAGCTCCCGGCGATGCTGGAGAAATCTCAAGAAACATCCCGAATTGCTGATATGGCTTCGGAAAAAATCCCTACTACCCTTGTGAGGACTTGATCTGAAATCTAGGTCAGAATCCCTGTGATCCTGTTCGTAGGGGTAATTATCTCGCCACAGTTATTGGCTGTCACGGGATTCGTCCCCCCAAGCTCTCGAATTTCGGAAGTCCTAACAGAAGTATCTTAGAAGAACATGATAAGGCCAATGAGAACCAATGTGACCCAGCCGTGCCCTCTAAGACTATCTGGAATAGGTTGTAAGACTTTCTGGCTTCGCGTTGCGCAAATGAACAAACTAGGTTAGAACGCGCTGGAAACTGCTGTCACGAATCCAGCTGTCACGAATCTAGCTGTCGCGTAACCAGCTGTCAAGAATCCAGCTGCTTTCTGTAATCCAGACAGACGTGAATCACGCACTGATATCGTCCATGGTAAATCTGTTTTTTCAAATGTGAACCGTGGAAGTTACCAACTCAAAGGGATCCGTGCCCAGACTCTCCGAGTCTTAAATTACCTTTGAGAGATTAATTTGCTGAGCTGCGGCGCCATGGCATGCAATGCAGCGCATTGCACGCTCTGGTTTGCTCTGCCGCCGCTCTGCTCTGCTGAAGCCTGCTGAAGCCTCTGCCTCCTGCTTCACGCCACCCCACTCCACCCCACTCCCCACTCCACCCCATCCCACCCCACCCCACCCCACCCCTTTCTTCAACCCCTGTGTTCCTGAAGCAGGAGAGGCAAGAAGTGGTCCAAGCTGGTTCTCTTCGAGCAGTGCAGCAGCACGCCGCGTGTGCCTCCACTTAAACCCCCTCCACCCCACTCCACACACCCCACTTCACCCCTCTCCATCCCATTCCACCCCACTCCACTCATTCGTTTAACCGCTCTGTGCTCCCGAAGCAGGAGAGGCAAGAAGCGGTCCAAGCTGGTTCTCTTCGATCAGTGCAGCAGCACGCGTGTGACTCCTTGTCACCCCATTCCACCCCACTCCACCCCAATCCACCCATTGTAACCCCTCTGTGCTACTGAAGCAGGAGAGGCAAGAAGCGGTCCAAGCTGATCCTCTTCGAGCAGCGACTGCCACGTGTGACTCCACCCTACCCCACCCCCTACTCCAACCCCTCTCCACCTCATCCCACCCCACCCCACCCCTTTCTTCAACCCCTGTGTTCCCGAAGCAGGAGAGGCAAGAAGCGGTCCAAGCTGGTCCTCTTCGAGCATCGCCTCCCTCGTGACGGCTACGTGTGGCTCAAGTACGGACAGAAGGAGCTGTCTGGCGGAGTGTACACGCGGTAAGCATGTGACTCTGAACTGCTTGCTTCTGACTGCCTGCTACGTGTGGCTCAAGTACGGGCAGAAGGAGCTGTCTGGCGGAGTGTACACGCGGTAAGCATGTGACTCTGAACTGCTTGCTTCTGACTGCCTGCTACGTGTGGCTCAAGTACGGGCAGAAGGAGCTGTCTGGCGGAGTGTACACGCGGTAAGCATGTGACTCTGAACTGCTTGCTTCTGACTGCCTGCTACGTGTGGCTCAAGTACGGGCAGAAGGAGCTGTCTGGCGGAGTGTACACGCGGTAAGCATGTGACTCTGAACTGCTTGCTTCTGACTGCCTGCTACGTGTGGCTCAAGTACGGGCAGAAGGAGCTGTCTGGCGGAGTGTACACGCGGTAAGCATGTGACTCTGAACTGCTTGCTTCTGACTGCCTGCTACGTGTGGCTCAAGTACGGGCAGAAGGAGCTGTCTGGCGGAGTGTACACGCGGTAAGAGCATGTGGAGCCAACACCAGTGGTCAGAACCAGGTATCAGGAGTGCTTCAAACTGCTTCTTCTGCGTCACCGATTGCCACCTCCGTGTGGCTCAAATACGACAGAATGGGGCTGTCTGGCGGAATTTACATGTGGTAGGGCAGTTTACACGGAGTCTTGCCAAAGATAGTGAGTTCAGGTGTTTCTGGCAGATCTTGGTGCTGTGAAGTCAGGTGCACCCTGGGGGGCTTGTACTGTGGACATCAGGTGCACCTGCAGGCTTACATGTACGTTGTAGACTGTGCTTGTCTAGGAATATTTGTACCACGCGTTGCTTTGCTGGATGCCAGGGTTTCGGGTCTGGATCGAAGCAGCGATTCTAAGCTCTCAACGACCCAGGCATCAACCAGCACGCGTGCTCTCACCCCTCTCTGCTTCCCTATCTCCCTCCCCTTTCCCCCAGGCACTACTTCTGCTGCACACTGAGGGACTCATCGCACGGCTTCCAGGCCTCTGGTTGCCATCTCACCCGCTTTCTTCCCGGATTCTCCCCCTCCCCCTCCCCCTACTCCCTCTTCTCACCCAGGCACTACTTCTTCTGCGCACAGCGGGACTCATCGCATGAGTGCCAGGCGAATCGGATCGTGGACTTCAACAAGATCGCATCTGACGGCCCTCTCGGCCTCTCATACGTGTGGGAGAGCACAACCACCCGCCACTCCTGCACAGCGAACCCTTCACCCCCTCTTTCCCTCCCACCCTTCCCACCTCTCCCCTCCTCTCGTTCCCCCTCCCCCCTTGCCCCGCTCCCCTCACTCCCATCTTCAGGCACTACTTCTGCTGCGCACAGCGGGACTCATCGCATGAGTGCCAGGCGAAGCGGATCGTGGATTTCAACAAGATCGCCTCTGACGGCCCTCTGGGTCTCTCGTATGTGGGAGACCACAACCACCCGCCGCTCCTGCACAGCGAACCCTTCACCCTAAACCCCACGCACCCTACGCATCCCAACAATGCGACTACCCCAACGCATCCCTCGCATCCCACCACTCCTACCACTCCGGTCTATCCAGCCAATGCAGCAACCACTCCCACTGGAAGCAGCGGTCCTGGTGGTAACCCTGTTACAGCTGGAGATTTTCGTGATACTGTTTCTGTGGGGGGGGCATGTGACATGATGGAATCTCGAAGAGAGCAAATGACACCCCCACCTTCTCTCACTGCTCCTGCTACCACTGCTGCTGCTGCTGCTGCTGCTGCTGCTGCTGCTGCTGCTGCTGCTGCTGCTGCTGCTGCTGCTGCTGCTGCTGCTGCTGCTGCTGCTGCTGCTGCTGCTGCTGCTGCTGCTGCTGCTGCCACTGCCACTGCCACTGCCACTGCCACTGCTGCTGCCACTGGCACCACAGCTGCCGTTGCTGCGGCTACTGCAGCCAATGCTGCTGCTGCTCCACCTACCGCTTCTGCTGCTGCTGCTCCTCTTGCTCCTGCGGCTTCTTCCTTTCCCTTCCTGTCTCGTGACGCCATAGGAAACCACTGCATCTCCCCACCACCTCCTGCACATGACGAGACGATTCTTGAGATGCCCCAACTATCATCCATGCCCACGGTGCTGATGGCAGGAGGTGCGGGTGGCGATGTGTCCAGATGCGATGCATCTGCGTTGGCGCGGCATGGTGGGTCGGTTTTAGGCGCGGATGGCGGCATATCAGGGGCAGGAGAGCAACAAGTGCAAGGAATGATGGGAGCAGCTCAAGCGTACGGATCGTGGGGGCAGAGTGAAATGCATCAGCTGGAGCAGCAGCCTATGGGAGCTCAAGGAATGCAGCCGCCGGGACATCAGCAGCAGCAACAGATGCGTTTTCAGCCGCAGCCAAATGACAAACGACAGCAGCAGTGGCAGCAACAGCAGCAGCAGCAGCAGCAGCAGCAGCAGCAGTGTTATCAGCCGAATATTCAGCCACAGCAGCAGCAGCAGCAGCAGCAGCAGCATTATCAGCTGAATATTCAGCCACAGCAGCAGCAGCAACAGCAGCAGTCACAAAGCATGATCCAACAAAACCAGCAAAACTATCCAATGTTCCAGCAGCAACAGCATCCCTTTCGGGAACAGCAGCCATTGCAGCAACAGCAGCCATCGCAACAACAGCAACCATCGCAGCAGCAGCAGCAGCAGCAGCAGCAGCCACACCTGCTGCCCCAACAGCAGCATCTTCCCGAGCCGCAAGCGCAGCACCTACAGCAGAACCAGCCGCTGCTGATACCCTCCCTACGGTCCCCGCAAATACAGTCACCACACCTACAGTCCCCGCAAGCACAGTTCCCTCAGCAGTGGCAGGCGGCTCAGGGCTTGCTGCATAAGTCGATGACACGCGCGCATCAGCAGCTGCAGCAGCAGCAGTGGCCAACGCAGCAGCAGCAGCAGCAGCAGCAGCAGCAGCAGCAGCAGCAGCAGCAGCAGCAACAGCAGCAACAGCAGCAACAGCAACAGCAGCAGCAGCAGCAACCGCCGTCGCAGCAGCAGCAGCAGCAACAACAGCAGCAGCAGCAACAGCCTTGGCAGCAGAATCAACCCTTCTCCCCCCTCCCTCATCCCAGCAGAAGCCAATCCTTCCACGAATCTTCCTATTCAACGACCCCATTGTCGTCCCCTCCCACACGCACCTCCACTCCCCTCCCACCTCCACCGTACTCAAACCCAGCCGCCCCACGCTCCCTCACCCCTCCAGCAGCAGCAGTGCCAGCAACCGTGGGGGCCTTTCAGGTTCATCTACGGTCCAACCCATCTGCCCCATCTCCCTTCTATGCTGCGCCATCTTCAGCAGAGCAACAAGGCGGGGCAGCAGCAGCAGCACCAGCAGCAGCGCTGCCAGTAAAGCTGGAAGGCAGGAGCAGAAGTTGCAGCGGCAGCAGCATGGGCGGGGCGCAAGAGTTGGTGGGTGGTGGCATGAAGAGTGGTGGCCCAGAAGTCCCTCTGGTGCAAGGGGCGGTGGGTGGTATACCAGGAGGGTCGCTCCCACAGGGCACGGCTGGTGGTGCTATGCAGGGAGCATCTCTGGCACAAGGCATGGATGGAGGTCTGCCAGGAACGGGTCTGTCGCAAGGGGTCATGAGTGGGCTTTCCAGCCTTCCTGACCTTCCCAACATTCCTGTGATTCCTGGCTTTTCTGGCCTCTCGAGCCTTGCTGGCGTGTCCGGTGTGTCTGGTGTTGTTGCCCTTCCTTCAGCTCCTGGCGCGTCTACTATCGCTGGTGGTGTTGGTGGCGTTTCCAGCGTTCCCAACCTTTCTGGCTTGCCAGGAGTGTCTGTAGATGTGTTGAACCAGCTTCTGAACGAGGAGTGCAGCCTAGGGCCCTCTGAGTCGATGCTACAAGGGGGAGACCTCATGCACCTGCTCGGCATGCACCTGCTGCAGCAGCAGCCACTGCAGCAAGGCACTCATTCGCAGCAACTGCAGCAGCCACAGCAGCAGCAGCAGCAGGAAACGCAGGTGCAGCAGCAGCAGCAGTGGCAGCAGGAGGCAAAGCAGCAGCCACAGCAGCAGCAGCAACAACTGCAGCCGCCGCAGCAGTTGCAGCAACAGCACCAGCAGCTGCAGCAGGCGCCTCAGCAGCAGCAGCAGCAGCAGCAACAACAGCAGATGCAGCAGCAAATCTGGTATGACCAGGAACGAATGCCCGTGTCGCAAGGTGCAAGCCAACAAGTCCAAGTGAAGCAGGAGCGGCAGGTGCAGCACGTGCAGCAGGTGCAACAGGAGCAACAGGTGCTCAACTCGCCGACAATCGTTTGTGAGCAAGCACTGCAGGAGCAGCAACCAACCTGGCAACATCAACAAAATCAGCAGCAAAGCAACCAGCAGCAGCAGCAGCAGCAGCAGCAGCAGCAGCAGCAGCAGCGGCGGCAGCAGCCACTCCCTTGGGGTTCGGATACTGGCCAGAATGCTCCGTGCTGCACCTGTGACCGTGCACTCGTGCCACCAACCTATGACCTCGGGAACAGCGTACCAAACAATGGCCTTAGAGGAAGCACGAGCGACGCTCCTAGTTGCACAGGTAATGACGACACAGCCACGAGTGATGGTGGTGCTGTGGCGGCTAACAATGGCTCGGGATGTCGATTTCATGGTGTGACTACTGTGGCTGATGTGGCTGGTGTGGCTGGTGTGGCCAGTGTGGCCAGTGTGGCTGGTGTGGCTGGTGTGGCTGATGTGGCTGGAAACGCGACGATCTATATCCATGGGGACGGCAGGAGCGGCTTTTCTGCGATGGTAGATGAGGCGTGCGGGGGTGAATGGCTACCGCCGTTACAGCAGCCGCCAGGGATACAGGTAAAGCAAGAGAATGAGGTTAGGGATCAGCACACGGTGCTGCAGCAGCAGCAGCAGCAGCAGCAGCAGCAGCAGCAGCAGCAGCAGAACCAGCACCAGCAGCAGCAGCAGCAGCAGCAGAACCAGCACCAGCAGCAGCAGAACCAGCACCAGCACCATTACCAGCAGCAGCAGCACCACCAGCAGCATCAGCAGCAGCAGAACCAGCACCAGCACCAGCACCAGCACCAGCACCAGCACCAGCACCAGCACCAGCACCAGCACCAGCACCAGCAGCTGCAGCAGCAGCAGAACCAGCACCAACACCAGCAGCAGCAGCAGAACCAGCACCAACACCAGCAGCAGCAACAGAAGAACCAGAACCAGAACCAGCACCAGCAGCAACCGCAGACCCAGGAACAGCAGCAACACCAGCACCAGCAGCAACAGCAGAACCAGCAACAGCAGCAACACCACCACCAGCAGCAACAGCAGAACCAGCAACAGCAGCAACACCAGCACCAGCAGAATCATCAGCCGCAGCAGCAGCAGCAGAACCGGAACCAGAACCAGCACCAACATCAACAGCAACAGCAAAACCAACAACAGCAGCAACATCAGCACCAGCAGCATCATCAGCCGCAGCAGCAGCACCAACAACAGCAGCTCTTCTCCAATCAGCTGATTGGCATCGCTGAGCACATACCAAGCTCATTCATCGACACACGAAGCGTGCTCGCCATGGTTGCGGGTTCGTACGACCATCCGTCGCCGCTTCTGCGTGGGATCGATTCTACAGTGTCTGCTGCGCGGCCTGCCGCTACAGCCTATCCTGCAGCAGCAGCAGCAGCAGCAGCAGCAGCAGCTGCATCACCAGCTGAGCTACCAGCTGTAATCTCTGCTACAGTAACACCAACCCCGTCGTCATCACAACCAAGTCAGCGTGTGGTGATTGCTCAGGGTTCAGGAGGTCTGGCGGCGTTTGAAATGGATTGAATGGAGAGAACAGAGGCAGGCGAAGGAGCGGAATCGACTTTTTGAGTTTACCCTTTGATTTGACCACTTCCGGTGTGAGCTTGCTGTTGGATCTTCTGTTTTCTTCCTCCAGTTTTCCCCAGCATAGCGGGATGGTGAGACTGGAGAGGTGGAAAACAGATGGAGGAATACAAAATTTGCTAAGAGCATGTATTTCCTCTTTATTTGTTCTTTTGGGGAGAGATGCATAAATGAAGGGCTTTGCGTAGGGCTATTAGGAATGCATGTAACGATGCTTCTTGGCATAGAATTAGGGCTTAGATTCGATTTAGTTGCAAACGGAACAAATACGGTAGGAGTCTAATGAAAGTGGTGCTTCTTGGATGGACATTGTAAATGAAAATACTGTAAGATATTGATTTGACATTTGAGAAGAATAGTATTTGCTCAATCAATTGTGAATGGTATGAAGATGGGGGAGGCTAGTTTTCAAAGTGCCTTTCATGTTTGGCACTGCGAGTTGCACCATCCTCTCCAAGTTCCTCGGGTCGTAGAAACATGGGGGCCTTTGGTGCCACCTCCTTTCGAGGCGCCCCGAAAGTCATCCTCCCAAAACTCCTTGGGTCGTAGAAACATGGGGGGATTTGGTGCCACTGCCTTTTGAGGCGCCTCGAAAGCCATTCTCTCCAAGCTCCTCAGGTTGTAGAAACATGGGGGCCTTTGTGCCACTGCCCCCTCCACCCTGATGTGTGCTCTCTCGATTCAACGTGTGCTCCGCTGTTTTGAGGTCTCACCCTCAGAAGAGATTGTCAGGGCCATTGTCCCCCTCTCGTTTCGCACCCACGCGCTCCTCACGCACCCAGCTATCCTCCAATCTCACGTCCTGCCTCCCCCCATCCCCCTACGCGCACATGCAAAACTCCCATCGCTCCACTCTCTCCCACTTATAGTCCCTCCCTCACGCCTTCTGAAAACTAACGGCAAACTCCTCGGCCTCCCTTAACGCGATAGATTCCTTCTCTCCCGCCATGTCAAGGTGGGGCCACATCGTCCGTGCATATGCATATGGCCTTGGCCCCATCTCCGGAACCAGATTTATCACCTCCTCTCCGGCTGCTGGGCCCTTCAGGAGCCTCTGGATGCATCCCCTCTTCATGGTGGTCAGCGTTCCGCGAACCCCCCGTCATTGCACCCTTCCCAGGTACGGTCCATACCTTCACAAGAGCTTCACTCCTCCCCCTCTCTCGCCTTGAAAGTGTTGTAGCCACCCCTCCCCACTCTCTGCCCGCTACCTTACACTGGATCCTCCTCAACATCTTCATTCTACGGGCCTCATCGGCTCTGGCGGCTTTCACATCAATGATGTAACGAAAGTCTATACTCCATACTCAGGTTCACTGGGTGGCAGGCCCGTTACACACAAGTGCAAGGCTAGAAGCGATGTTGGAGCTTCTACCACACGGACCCATAGCATCGCTACCCTTCAACGCATGCTCTACACCCAACAACCCCTCGACCACGAGATTCGATGGACCTACGCCCTTTCTTCCCCATCTCCTCCTTTCATCCCCAATCTCTCTCGTGACTTTCTCTGCGAGCAACAAAGTCTGCAATATGACCTCCTTATATTTACACGGGCCCCCTTCCCTCCGGTGTGTGTTCTCTGTTTCAAGGCGAACAGACGATATTCCAATATTTGTGCAAGTGTCCAGGTCGAGACCATCTTGTTAGAATAGCAACTTACGAGGTTGATGGTTAGGAAGTTGAGAGGAGAAAAGGTGCATTAGCAAGGGGGTAAGATCCCAAGATAAACAATCAAGAGGTAGGCACAAATGGTGCACCACCAACCGTTGGCTGAAACAATCTACACTATTTTCCATGCCGTAGGGGGTTTATATATATGTAATACACCCCCTTGACCCACCCCCTAAACTGCCTGCAGCAAGATTCAGTCCAAGAAACACCCCTTGAAGGGGATCACCGCCCATAGCAGCAGACCACGTGCCAGCAATGGCATGCGGGTGCAGCGGTGGCAAGTGCAGTGGCGGCAGGTGGAGCGGCGGCAGGTGGAGCGGCAGCAGGTGAAGCGGCGGAAGGTGGAGCGGCGGAGAGTGCAGAGGCGGCAGATGCAGCGGCGACAGGTGCAGCGTCGGCAGGTGCAGCGGCAACTGGTGCGAGTTCAGGTACTTTACACATGCTCCGGTAGACCCCCTCCCCCCTCAGGGTCCTGCCCCCTCAGGTGTGTCCCAGGTAGACCCTGTCAAGCCTGTCGAGGTAGCTGTCGACTCTGGTACTGCTAGGGGTGCTGAGCCTGCGGGTGCGGGGCCTGGGGGTGCTGAGCCTGGGGTTACTGAGTCTGAGGGTGCGGAGCCTGGGGTTGCTGAGCCTGAGTGTGCGGAGCCTGGGGGTGCTGAGTCTGAGGGTGCTGAGCCTGAGCGTGCTGAGTCTGGAGGTCCTCCGAGTGTCCAGTCACGGCGGGAGCCCCTCTCTCCACAGCAGCTGCGTGAGTGGTACGCTCGGCGCTGTAGCCGTGCTGCTGGAGCTGGGGGGCCTGCTACTGAAGGTGCTGCTGGTGCTGGAGCTGCTGGAGCCGCTGGTCCTGGAGGTGCTCGTGCTGGAGGTACTGGCGCTGCTGGAGGTCCTGCTGGTGTTGGAGCTGCTGGAGCTGCTGGCGCTGCTGGAGGTCCTGCTGGTGTTGGAGCTGCTGGAGGAGCTGGCGCTGCTGGAGGTCTTGCTGGTGTTGGAGCTGCGGGAGGTGCTGGAGCCGCTGGTCCCGGAGGTGCTCGTACTGGAGTTACTGGAGCTGCTGGGGCTGGTGGTGCTGCAGGAGTTGGAGCTGGAGGTGCTGGAGCTGTTGCTGCTGGAGGTGCTGCTAGAGCTGGAGCTGCTGGAGGTGCTGCAGCTGGTGGTGCTGCGGGAGTTGTAGCTGGAGACCCTGGAGCTGAGGGTACTGGTGCTGTCTCTGCTGTTTCTGGAGGCGCTGCGCGGCCGCGGCCGTACTACGTTCCGCTCCTTCAGCAGGTTCTTGGCCTCCCGCCTTCTACTGGTCCTACTCCTCCCTTACTGAGTCCACCGCCTGTCCACTCGCAGTCGCAGTTACAGCCAGCCTCTCCACTGCCTGGTCCTTCTCCTTACTCTGGACCGACTAGAGGTCTTACGGAGCGTCGTGAGCCTGAGTCTCGTCCTGCGTCGCCTGAGTCTCGTCCTGAGTCGCCTGTTCGCGCTGTCCGCACTGGTCGTCGTGTTCCGCGTCAGCGTCCTCCTCCTGTCCCCGGCACTCACTATATGACTCTGCGTCCTTCCACTGCTCCACAGCGTGTCCCTCTGCCTTCTCCTCCTGCGTCCTCTCTTCCTGACGGTCCGGACCCGGAGTCTGACTCCCTTCGTGCTGCTAGTCCTACTATCACACGTTTCCTGGCCACTGTTGTCACTGACCCTTCGTTTGAGTCCACTGCTGCGTCTGCTCTAGTTGCTGAGCTTGTTGACTTTGCTGCCACCTATCCTCTAGACTATGCCGCTAGTCTTGTTGCTGAGTCTGCGTCTGAGTCTGTCTGTCCTCCGTCCGTCGGGGGTGAGTGTGCTCTTGGCACGGACGTCCTTGAGGACAGACAGGAGGAGTTTGAGTGCTTTGCCGCTGCTTTACCTCATCTCGTGTCCATGCTGCTTGCCCCTGAGGGAGACCCGGATGCACCAGACATCCCGACCCCGCGCTCTTACGCAGAGGCGATAGAGGGTCCCTACTCCTCTCAGTGGCAGACAGCCATGGACACAGAGATGGCTTCCTGGAAGTCCACAGGCACCTACGTCGACGAGGTTCCCCCACCTGGGGCGAACATCGTCAGTGGCATGTGGATTTTTAGGGTGAAGCGGCCGCCGGGTTCTCTGCCTGTCTTCAAGGCGCGTTACGTTGCACGAGGCTTCAGTCAGCGACAGGGAGTTGACTTCTTCCAGACCTTCTCCCCTACCCCGAAGATGACCACTCTTCGGGTTCTGCTGCACGTCGCCGCTCAGCGTGACTACGAGCTTCACTCTCTTGACTTCAGCACTGCTTTCCTACAGGGCAGCCTGCACGAGGAGATCTGGCTGCGCCGCCCACCTGGCTTCACTGGGTCGTTTCCTGCTGATACCCAGTGGAGCCTCCGGCGGCCAGTCTACGGTCTCCGCCAGGCACCCCGTGAGTGGCACGACACACTGAGGACGACTCTTGCTGCTCTTGGGTTTGCTCCTTCCACTGCTGACCCGTCGCTGTTTCTACGCACCGACACCTCTCTGCCGCCGTTCTACGTTCTCGTGTACGTAGACGACTTGGTCTTTGCTACTGCTGACACTGAGGGACTCGCCCACGTGAAGTCGGAGCTGCAGAAGAGACACACGTGCACAGACCTGGGTGAGCTGACAAGCTATCTTGGCTTGCGGATCACCCGGGACAGAGCACAGCGCACCATTACCTTGACTCAGTCACACATGGTGCAGCAGGTCCTTCAGCGCTTCCGCTTCACGTACTCCTCGCCACAGTCCACTCCTCTGCCTACCGGTCACTCGCTCTCAGCTCCACCTTCGAACGAGTCCGTAGAGCCGAGTGGTCTGTACCCAGAGCTTGTGGGCTGCCTCATGTACCTGATGACCTGCACTCGACCTGACCTTGCCTACCCTCTTAGCATTCTAGCACGCTATGTCGCTCCTGGGAGACACCGGAAGGAGCACATGGATGCCGCTAAGAGGGTGTTGCGCTACTTGTGCAGTACGTCGGGCATGGGGCTCGTGCTTGGAGGACGGGCTCGAGTTGTCCTCACTGGTCACGCAGACGCTTCCTGGGCTGGCGACTTGGCTACGCAGCGGTCGTCACAGGGTTACACCTTCAGTCTTGGCTCCGGCTCTGTTTCTTGGCGGTCTACCCGCTCGTCTTCTGTTCTCTGCTCCAGCTGTGAGGCTGAGATCTACGCATGGGCCATGGCTGCACAGGAGTTACGCTGGCTCACCTACCTGCTGACCGACCTGGGAGAGCCGCCTTGTTCTCCTCCAGTGCTGTACGTCGACAACAAGGCCATGATTGCCTTGTGTCAGGAGCACAGACTGGAGCACAGAACGAAGCACATCGCTCTTCGCTACTTCCTTGCTCGAGAGTTGCAGCAGCGTGGTCAGCTTCGTCTTGCTTATGTGGCCACTCGGGCCAACACTGCTGATGTCTTCACTAAGGCACTTCAGCCTTGTGATCATCAGCGTTTCTGTACTGTTCTAGGCCTTGTGCCTACTGTGCCTCACTTGCTTACTTCTTGACTCTGCTTGTACTGTGATCTATTTACATATACCTGCATGCTTACACTTTCTAGCTTGTGATCTAGGTATTGCTTGTTCTCCTTTATATAACTCTGCATGTGAACTGGCCTTGTGGCCATTTGCTTGTACTCAGACTGCGTGGTGACATTGTGATCCACCCTGAGCTTGCTTTGCCTCTCTTGACCGGTCTTGTGACCTCTTGTTCTCCCCCACTTTGCCTATGGGGGTGTGTCAAACATATATGGCATAGTCTGTGTAGGCTGTAGTGGGGTTGTCCATATAGGGTACAATACTTCTAGGTTTCCTACTTGTACCCATCTGCTTGCTAGTTCAATCATTCGTTCCTTCACTATTCTGACAATTTTAGCCTAAACTGAACACGCCCTAAGTTCAGTTAGGTTTTCCTTATCTTTGATAGTTTCTCAATACAACCTTTTCGCTCTCGCCACTCATGGCTTTCAAGGACCTATGCCTAACAACGACCGCCAAGGCCCCTTTAGGATGTACGCTGCGAACATACATTTAACGACTCTACCTCTTCCTGCTTCTAGGTACTTAAACTCATCCTTTCTTAATAGATGTTGACCATCAAGTCTATCTCCAGAGCAGGGCTAAGCAGGAACAAGAAAAAAATAAAATAAAAGAAAAGAAAATAACAACCGTCTGAATATCGCATATCGCCTTTGCGGCTGACGATCTTCGTGTGTCTTGGCTCATTTGGAAACGCCACACTTAGCGCGCGCCCTATAATGGAGCGCTCCCCCTCTGGCTTGCCAGTGGATACCCCCCTATAAGGATATGGAATACTGTATGTTCACGTATGCACTGTCTATGGTCACTGTCATCTCTATGTAGCTATAATATCGATTTGTTTTATGCATGTTTTGTATATTAGTAATAACCTTATGGAAGCCTTATATCTAAACCCTATTTTCTAGGGTCATGATTAATGAGACATTTTCAAGTGAGTGGGTATGTGGAATTTTCAAGAAAGACACATCTCAAGAGCTGCTGTAAGGTTTGTGATAGAAAAAAAAGGTTCATGTTCCTCTGCCCCAAGAATGGCAACTGCCCAGAAAATGGATGGTATCCTTGTGAGAAGGAAAAGGTTGTCTGCAGTGCGGGCGTGAACTTCTGAAAACAATGAATCTTGACGAGCGTTTTTGTGTTTTGGTGTTTTGGAGGTTCACACACCATTCAGTATCAAAAGTTGCGACGCAATTTCGTACACGTACACGAATTGTAGTTCCTGACTATCTGAACCATGAGACGAACGTAGCTCGTCCTTTGACGCGTACGTGGCGTTTTGATGCTTGATTGTGAAAACGAGACGCGGTTTATGGATACGCTGTCAGGATTCTGACATGAGTTTCCAGCCAATCCTGTGCTTTCGAGTCACCTATTCGTTGTCATGTACTGCAGCTATGGCTGCCATCCATGCCATGCCAAGACTAGCCACAGCGAACCGAGGAATGCAGTTCTTCAGTTACTAAAGTAGTAGGCTGTAAGCAGCAGTGTGCAGCTATGCATTCGACTTTCCTGGAATTCGACGGCTATGGCGGATTCTGTGTGAGGTTAGGTTGTGCGTGTACGCAATCATGCCAAGTGCATTAGCGATTCGATGAGACGTTAGAGTCTCCAATCATCTTGTGGAACTACTCGTTAGTAAGCCTCCGAGAGTCAAGCGTGTCTGTTGTTGTCCGTGATTTTACGGTCTGCTCAAATATGTAGTTCAATAGCAAGATTGTCGTCGCGTGTCATGTCGCTTAGCAGACAAGACTTCATCCCGTTGGCCTCACTTGTGACGTCAACCGTAGTTATGATCTGACGCACCTCGATGTAACAATTCCTCATCGCTGCGCTTTCCATCTCCTTGGGACGAATTACCAGGAGCATAAGTCCTACTGCTGCTACTTCTGAATCTTTAGGGTTGCAAATGTTAGCTTCGTAGCCCTGGACGACCTTCTTTTCGTACTAGGGTTCGCCTCCGGACAACCCCTTCCACGTCCGTTTCACCTTAATAACGGTGTTGAAGCTCGTCTGATAGAGGACGTTAATTATGCTGTCATAACACAGTAGATATCGACATAATAGTAGATAGGCTTCCCTTTCCATAGTAGTAGGATGTTACCCAATTGACCTCGGTTCTTTCGTTACGGAAGATCTTGTTACGGTGACCGTGTGACATTGTTTCGGTAACTCGGTAACACGATGACGGGAGCGATATCGAAGCATTTGAAGAAAGCTCATAACAGGGATAGATCCATCCCTAGTACTCCCCGCCGCGACGCTAGCACCCCGCGCTCCGCTGCGACCACGCCACGTGTCGGCTCCAGCACGCCACGTGGAACCGCCGATGAGCTCCCCTTATCCCAAACCAATCGCGCGATGGGTCCGTCTTTAGGCCCTTCTCGCTCCTTCCGAGACGGCTCGGCGTTACTCAACGGTCGAGATGCATCCGCAGGGCCCGCAACCCCCGGACCGTTCTTAAGCGCGTCGCGATCTATGAACGCGCGGGAAGGGGGTATGGCCTTCCCCGGACCTTCCCCGCGCCCGCCGATTCCCGGGGGATCTGCTCCAAGCCCTATGTCCGGTGGCGGATTCGGCGGAGGGTTCGGCAGTGGGGGAGGCGGCGGAGGGGACATGGCGGAAGCGGTTGAACTGCGGAAGGAGTTGGCGGAGCAGTCGGAGGAAATGGACCGACTTTTAGCTAAGAACGAGGAGCTGGTAAGAGTGACAGGCTTTCTCCAAATCGTGACCGTAGATCACACTGCTGAGCATTAGATGTGATTACAGCCAGATAACGAGTCGCGAGTACGTCCGTCAAAGTCAACGGACTCTGTTCGAGCCGCGGTGCTGTTCCGTCCGTGTCCTTGGGTTCGCACGTGAGTGAGGAGTTTGTTTTCCAGGCTCTGTGAAAATAAGAGGCCTCACGCGGCGTGTGTGTGTTGGTGAACGCGTTATTAGGGTTACACACTTCTTGTTTCGTTGGGCATGGCATCGAGTTCAAGCTTACGTTCCTATGTTGCCTTGGGGCGGGTTCGCGAAGACTTGTTTTTTTTTAGATTTCTGGTTGTGGTGTTCCGCGCTCAGATTGTGCTGTCTCGCATACCTGCCTCTACCTTCCAGTTTCTGCTGTTCCTATTCGCCACAATCTCCCGAACCTAACCCTTTCCCGGCATCCTCTTTCACAACGTCTTTCTCTGGCTGCTTTGTGTATCGCATCAGGAGGAGCAGCTCCGCGAATCGCGGCGAGAGGCTGCAGAAGCAAGCAGCCGCGCCACCGCCGCCGCATCTCGCGCTGAGTCCCTCCAAGCGAAGCTCGACGCGGACGCCGCAGCTCACTCCGCGTCTCACGCCGCATCCGACGGGGCATCCGACGGCGCTTCTGGCGGCGCGTCTGGCGCGGAGTCCCTCCAGAGGAAACTGGACGAGGCTAACGCGGCGCGGGCGGAGCTGGAGGAGCGATTAATCTCCATTACCTCTGAGAAAGAGGAGCTGGAGAGGCGATTAATCTCCACGAGCGCGAAGCGCGAGACTCTGGAGGGAAAAGTGGAGGATTTGGAGGGGAGGGGGAAGTACTTAGAAGGGAAAGCGGCTGCCGCGGAGAGAGTAGCGGATGAATTGGCACGCCAGGTGGAAAGGCTAGAAGGTATGGTGGGGGAGGGCGGGGAGGGGGGAGACGGGGGAGGCGGAGGGGGAGGGGGAGGGGGAAAGGGTGGGGGAGGCGGAGGGGAGTGGGAGGAGAAGGTGCGGATGCTTGAAAGGGAATTGGAGCAGATGGGGAGGGAGAGAGAGGAGGTGGTGAGGGAGAGGGAGGCGATGGGAGGGGAGAGAGCGAAACTGTTGAGAGAGAGGGAGGAGATGGAGAGGAGGTTGAAAGAGCTCGAGAAGGAGGTGAATGCAAAAGGAGGGGGAGGCGGTGGTGGGGGCGGTGATAATAACGAGGGTAGTGACTTAAACGAAGGGCGAGGCAGCGGGGAGAAGGCGAGGGGCGAGGCGGAGGAGGGTGATGTGACTAAAGCGAGGGAAGAGAAGGAGGAGCTAGAGGCGAAGTTGGCGGATGCGATTAAAGAGAAAGAGGAGATGGAGGAGCGTATGTTAGCAGCAGAGGCGGAGCGAGACGATTTAATTATCGAGCACGAGGAGTTAGTAGCTACTATGGAGGAGGCGGGCGGGCGAATGCAGGCTTTAATTCGCGAGAAAAAGGAGCTGGAGGCACGGTTGGGAGCGGTGCAGGGCGGCTGGGAGAGCAAGAGCCAGGGGCGGCGGCCGTGGGAGGTGGAGGAGGAGGATGGGGAGGAGACAGGGGGGATGGGGATAGGAGGGATGGGAGTGGGAGGAGGGAATGATACCAGGTATCTGGAGGAGAGGGTTTTAGAGCTTGAAGCGACTCTGGCAGAAGCGAAGCGAGGGAGGGAGGAGATGGGGAGGCGGTTGGCTGCTGCTGATGCTCTTGTGAGGGATGAGAGAGAGAGGGTGGCGGGAGAAATTCGGTTGCTGGATCAGGAATTGGAAAAGGCGATGGGGTTGCTTGGGGAGAAGGAGAGGGAGGTGGAGGGGTTGGAGGAGAGAGTGAGGGAGCGAGAGGAGGAGGCGGAGAAGGTGGGGGTTAGGTTGCGGGAGAAGGAGGAGGAGGTGGGGAGGGTGGAGGGGACGTTGAGGGAGAGAGAGGAGGAGGTGGGGAGGTTGGAGGGGGAGGTGAAGGGATTGGAGGAGAGAGTGAGGGAGTGGGATGAGAGGGGGAGGGAGAAGGAGAGGGAGTTGGGGGATGTGAGGAGGGAGGCAGAGGAGAGAGTGAGGGAGATGGAGGAGAGAGTGGGGGAGAGTGAGAAGAGGGTGGGGGAGCTTGAAGCTAAGGTTTGCGAGCAGCAGGAGAAGACACGAGAAGCGGAGTCAGCAGTTGCTGTGCTTCAAACGGAAGTGGCAGAAGCGAGGGGCGAGATTGATCGACTGGTGTTGGAGAAGGAGGAGTTGGAGGGGAGGACGAAGGAGTTGGAAGGGAGGATGAGGGAGTTGGAAGGGGCGAAAGAGGGTGCAGAGGAGGAAGTGGCTGGGTTGCGAGAGGTTGTGTGCGGTTTGGAGGAGAAGAAGCGGAAACTGGAGGGGGAAAGGCGAGAATTGGAAGAGGAAAGGCAGAGACTTGAGGAGGAGAAGGGAGATTTGCTAGAGGAAAAGGAACGTATGAAGGAGGAGATTCGGAGAGTGAGGGAGGAGGGTGAGGAGGAAGGGGAGAAGAGGAGGCGAGTGGAACAGCAGGTGGAAGAGTTGGAGCAGCGAAGGGTTGAGCTGGAGAGGGATTTAGAGGAGGAAAGGGAAGGAAAGAGGAGGGTGGAGGAGGAATTGCAGGGAGAGATTGATGGGCTGAGAAGGGCTGCGGAGGAGGGGGAGAGGAGAGATGGGGAGAGAGTGAGTGAGTTAGAAGTCGCTGTAGAGAGGGAGAAGGCGAGTAGGATTGAGGTGGAGGGAGAGAGGGAGGAGGAGAGGGTGAGGAGGGAGGAGGTGGAAGGGAGGTGGAGAGAGGAGGAGAGGAGGAGAGAGGAGGTTGAGGGGGAGTTGAGGGAGGTGAGTGTGAGGAGGAGGGAGGTGGAGGAGAGAGGGGAGGAGTTGGAGCGAGTGAGAAGGGAGTTGGAGAGGAGGTTGGAGGAGATAGAGGGGGAGAAGGAGGAGGGGGAGAGGAGGAGGGAGGAAGGGGAGGAGAGGAGGAGGGAGTTAGAGGAGAGACTGGGAGAGATGGAGGGGAGGGTGGAGGAGGCGAGGGCAGAGAGGAGGGAAATGGAGGGGAGGTTGGAAGAGGAGGAGTGTCGGAGAAGGGAATTGGAGGGACGGATAGAGGGGCTTGGGAGGGAGAGGGAGGGGGAGGTGGATTCTAGGGTAGGTGAACTGGAGAAAGATAAGAGGGATCTTGAGGTGAGGGCTAGACAGGCTGAGAGGGAGGTGAGGGAATTGAGGGAGCAATTGGAGGAGAGGGTGGAAGGGGAGGAGGAGAAGAGGAAGAGGGTTGAGAAGAGGTTGGAGGAGAGTGAGAGGGAGAGGGGGGAGTGGGAGGAGAGAGTGAGGGAGGCGAGGAGGGAGGTGGAGGAGGGGCGGAGGGAGAAGGAGGAGGTGTTGGGGAGGGTGAGAGCACTGGAGGTAGAAGTAAAGGCGGAGAGGGAGAGAGTTGGGGCAGTTGAGCTAGAGCTGAAAACAGCGAGGGAGAGAGTAAAGGCAGTTGAGTTAGAGTTGAAAGCAGAGAGGGAGAGAGTGAAGGACTCAGCAGATAAGGGCAGGAGTGAGGGAAGGGAAGGAGCCACAGCAGTTACCACTGCAACAGCAGCCACTGATACCAGCAGCAGCAACGGCGGTGGCACTGTCGCTGACGAATCCGACCCTGCAGCCTCGGAGAGGCTTGCCAAAGCTGAGGCCCGGGCCCGGCGCGCCGAAGCTGCCGCCGAGGCTCTCCGGGAGCAGCTGGCGGATCGGGAAGCGATGGAGAAGAGCCGGATCAGGAGAGAGGTTCGGGAGAAGGAGACAGCTGTTGCGAAGCTAAGGGGACAGGTGGCACAGGCAGAGGGGAAGTGGAGGAAAGCGGAGGCGAGGGCAAGAGAGGCGGAGGAAGAGGTGGATAGGATTCGCGATGGGCTGATGGGGCGAGCGGGGAGGGGAGGCGGTTCGGGAGGGGGAGATGGGGGAGTGGGAGAAGGGGGAGGGGTAGAAGCGGGAGGTGGGGAGTGGGAGCAATCGGAGGTGGCCCGGGTGTGGGTGAAGCTGAAGGAGGCTGAGGAGAGGGTGAAAGTGGCTGAGGGGAGAATGGCGGAGGAGCAGGAAGCTGCTCGGAAGGCGCTGGATGAGCTAGAGGAAGTTACGTGGAAGGTGAAGGGGGCGGAGGAGGAGGCGCGGAGGGAAAGGGAGAAGCGGGAGAAAATGGCTGAGAGGCTTGCGAGTTTAGAAGAAGAGTTTGCTGGGAGCTCAGGAGGAGCGGGAGGAGCGGGAGGAGCAGGTGGGAAGAATGCGGGAGGAGTTTCAGATAACAGTTCAGGGGCGGGAGAAGGTGGGGCAGGAGATTCGGGAGCAGCAGCAGCAGTGGCAGTGCCAGCTGGGTTTGTTCTCTTAGCGGAGTCTGCTATAGAGGAGATGCAGAGGAGGGAGGCGGAGCTGCTAATGCAGGTGGATCAGCAGCGGGTGATGCTGGAAGGCAAGGGGCAGGAGGTTCGGAAGAAAGAGGCGGAGGTTCGGGCGAAGGCTCGGGAAGTGACTGCGAAGCAGGAGGAGCTGAACGCGCTCAAGGCTAAGAGCCAGGGGCTGCTAGCTAAGGAGCAGGAGATTAAGCGTCTGACCGATGAGCTTTTAGCTAAGAGCGAGGAGATTCAGCGGCTGGAGAAGGAGGTGGAAGGAAAGGAGGAGGAGGCGAGGAGGAAGGCGATGGAGCTAATCATGAAGTCAGCTGAGGCGAGGGCTAAGGATGAGATCATCGAAGAGAAGGAAAAAGAGCTGCAGGAGTTGAGAGAGCATCTGTACTCAGGGGGGGGTGCTTCTCCCAGAGGAGGAGGAGGGGGCGGTCGTAGCATGAGGTATGGGGGTCCTTCTCCTAGAAGAAGGGCGGATGGCGAAGGGGAGGAGGGGAGGCAGGAGGGCGGGTTTGGGGAGGACGGGGAGGAGGAGGATACGGTTGAGTCGCTGAGGGAAGAGATTGCGCGGATGGATGGGGAGATGGAGGAGTTGTATCAGGCGTTGATCGAGGCGAGGGAGGAGAAAGAGGCGACGGTTACCGAGTTACTCAAGCAGGTGGTAACCTTGAATGATAGGTTGGCTGCGGCGAAGCGGGAGAAGGACTCGGCGGTTGCCGAGGCTGAGAAGCAGCTTCGGGGCGCCGTGGCTGACGCGGAGGAGCGGGCGGAGAAGGCTCGGAAGGAGGCGGAATCACTAGCTTTGCTGATAGAGCAGACGGAAGGGGATAAGGTGCATGCGCGAGCGAGCGTGGAGAAAGCACAGGAGTATCTGCGAGCGCTAGACACGGCTAGGGTGGAGGTGAAGAGGCTGAGATTGGAGAGGGATTTGCTGAATGATCGGGTGAATACGCTGGAGGAGCAGGCGAGGGCGGCGGTGAATACGGGAGGGGCGTTGGGGCGATGGCTCATGCCTAACTGCCTGCTGCAGCGGCCGGAGAATACGAGTAGTGGCATGGGTGATGCTCCTGATACTCCCGGCAGGTGACAGGACGGGGTGACCTTTAAAGCGACGGTGCACATTTGCCACCCAAAACCCAGAACCCTGGCGAACTGTTACTGCGGATGGAAAGTGTCCGCACGAAATCCTGGTTTTCGCCAGCCAGCACTTTCGCGCTGGCAAGCCTGGTTCAAAAAAAAAACTTCTGAACCCAACACTGCCAAAAGTTGCCCGTCGCTTTAAGCTTGGTTTGGTTGTGACGTTCTGATGTTCTCCCCCCCCCTGCCCCCCTCCTCCTTTTTTAAAATAAGGGAAGGCATTGGAATTAGTGTGGGGGTGATGCACCTGATATAATGGCAGGTGACGGTTGACACAGGCACTCTGGTTTATAACGAGCCCTGCCCTCGCCCATTGCGGCAAGATTCGGTACTGTGCCACATTGGTGTGATTTATGCTTTTCTTTCTGTAAATTATTTGCTAGTACTGTTGCGGTGTACTGTCCCGACTATTTCTTTGCTGTGTCGAGTAAATGATATGGAACCGGAACTGTTCGCGATTCCGCTCTTTCGCCAACTCACGATTCCCGTTTCGCCAAGCCGTTCATTCCCTCGTCGTCAGAGAGCTGCTTTCGCTTCGCCACACGCGTTCCAACCATGTGCCGTGGTTGGGAACGCAGCACCATGATACGCTGTCAGACACCACACGGAACCGTACTATATCGTACTTTCAGCTTACCAAACCGCAGGAAATCTTGTTTCGAAACACTTCGACAAGGCAGGGCGTCCCACGCAGAACAAATTTCTGGTGTCGCGCTTAGGGCGTGTTTTGTGTTGCGCTTGTTCCGACATCTTGCACGATTCGATCGAAATTTCAATTACTTAGGACACGCCAGGATTCTCCAGTTCCCCGCTCATGAGTGTTGATCCAGCGATACAGTCCACGCGCGCCGGTGGGTGAAGGGGCTGTGAAAGGTGCCAGGCGCGACTCGCGCCTCATAACGATCAAATAAAATGGCGAGAAATGCGGTACGGTACGGTGCTCAAAGATCGCAGGATTGGGCCTCGTGGCCTTGCAGTAGTTTCCGCGTCGACGTGTGTGATCCCGTCCAATTCGCTTCCGCAGCTTCCAATTCTCCCCTTATTCTCATGACGGTCTTTAACCCAACCCCCCTTTTCCCCCTTCTTCACCCTCCTCTCCCTCCCCACCCCCCCCCCCCCCCCCCCCCCCTTCTCCCTCCCTCCCCCCCCCACTCCCCTTTAATCTCCCCCCCCCCCCACACACCTCCTCCCTCTCCCCCCCATATTCCCCCCGCCCCCCCTTATATCTCCCTCACCACCCCACCCTGCGTGCACAGGAGACGGTGGTGTATGTGGTTGGATGATGCGACACTTTCCCCCCACTTCTCTCCCCCTCCTCCCTCCCTCTCTCTCCCCCTTTCCTTCCCCTCCATCCCACCGCGTGCACAGGAGACGGTGGTGTTTGTGGTGGATGCGGGTCCATCCGTCCCACAGAAAGTGTTTCAGGAGTGCCGGCTCTGGGTGGAGCAGCAGATGGTGCAGAAGGTGAGGATGGATGGGGATGGGTTGGTGTAGGTAGCTGAATGGGTGCAGTTGGGTGTAGGTGGGTGGTTGGGTGCATGCGGGTCCATCTGTCTCACTGAGCGTGTTTCAGGAGTGCTGGCTCTGGGTGGAGCAGCAGATGGTGCAGAAGGTGGGGATGGGTGTGGGTGGGTGTGGGTGGGTCTGTGGGTGGGGGGTTATGTGGGGCACGAGTGTGTGCAATTGCAAGTGAAGAAGGAAGCATGTCGCCCCACTCCTCCCGTCCCATCCCATCCCATCCCGTCCCATCCCGTCCCATCCCCTCCCATCCCATCCCATCCCATCCCATCCCATCCCATCCCATCCCATCCCATCCCATCCCATCCCATCCCATCCCATCCCATCCCATGCCATCCCATGGCATCCCAACCCATCCCATCCCAACCCATCCCATCACACTCCATCCAACCCCATCTCATGCCAAATCATCCCGTCTCTCCATCGTCCCTCCCTGCCCTATCCTATACCGTCCGCCCTGCATTCTCTCTGCACTTTCCTGGCAGCTTCTCTTCAACCATCGCGACGATGTGGCAGTTGTTGCATTTGGCTGCGAGGGTATGTGATGTGGTGTGATGCGATGCGGTGGGGTGCGGTGGGCTGCTGTGTGGTGTGGTGTGGTGTTGTGTGGTGTGGAGTGGTGTTGTGTGGTGTGGTATGATTAATTGTGACGTGATGTGGTCTGGAGTGGTGTGCTCAAATGTGATATCATGCCAGCCCCCCTCTTGCAAGGAATCTGCAATCCCTGCCTCCCCGCTGCTCCCCACGCTGCTGCTGGTGTTTTGCCAAAGGCTGTGGAGGCTGCCGTGATGTGACCTCGAAAGGCTCTTTATGAAATTACGTGATGTGACCTCCCTGTTAGATCACACTGTTTGGCATTTCCTGTTTCGGTGCAGCAAAGGACATTGAACAAACAACATAAAACCACATACAACGTTTCTGTGAGCAGTTTTTTAGAATTCCCAGAAATCGCTGTGCCTCTGGTGACACTGCACCTTCACGTTTTGAGACTTCTCAACACTATACTTATGAGAAATCGCTGTGATAACGTTTTGAGACTTCTCAACACTTTACTTATGAGAAATCGCTGGGATATCTCTGCACTGCACCTACACATGTCTGCTCCGCTGTTCTGTCCCCCCTGCCGCTCCCTGCCCTTCCTTTCCCCACCACCACAGAAACAAACAACCCCCTAGAGGAAGAGGGGGGATACGAGCACATAGCCGTGGTGGCGGTGCCTTGCGGTGCCTCACCATGCTCCACTGCCCCCTAAACTTGTCCCCCGCTCATCCCCCACATCTACCTTAGACACTAACAACCCATTGGAGGAGGAGGAGGAGGAGGAGGAGGAGGAGGAGGAGGAGGAGGAGGAGGAGGGGGAGGGGTACGAGCACATAGTCGTGGCGGTGCCTCACAATGCTGCCCCGTTCCTTGCGAACCCGGTTCCCCGCTTTCTCCTCCCACCCACTACCGCAGAGACGAACAATCCGTTAGAGGAAGTGGAAGGGTATGAGAACATAGCCGTGTACCTCCCCTCCCTGCCCCTCCGTGGCCCTCTTTGCCCCTCACTGCAGAGACAAACAACCCGTTAGAGGAAGTGGAAGGGTACGAGAACATAGCCGTGGTGGTGCCTCACAGGGTGGTGGATCCATCCTCGTTACAAGCAGTGCACGCTATGGAGCAAGCAGCAGACTCGAGCATCAGGAGTGACTGTGAGTGAATTACCGTGAAGGAGGGTACGTGTGGGTGAGACCGTGAGGGTGGTAGGAAGCCCTCAATGACATTAGGAGAAGACGACTTCAAACAGAGCCAGGCGTGAGGAGCGATTGTGAGCGAGTGGCTGTCGTCACGGAGACCGAGTGTGTGTGAGGGCGGTTAGGTAGTTAGTGAACACTTCAGAAGGCTTTTGAGGCGCCTCAAATGTGTGAGCGAGGGTAGTTACTAGGCAGTGAGCCCCTGAAAAGGCGATGGTCTGGCCTATTAGAAGGGCATTTGTATTGCGTTCCTCTTGCCCATCGACCTGCCCAGGGCTCAGCGCGCTTGTCGCGGCTCTGGACCTGCTCATCCGTGCCAAGGGTGTGAGTGAGGCGCGTTAGTGCAATACACTTCACTGCACCCACTCACCCCCTCCTCTCCTCCCCTCCACCCCCACCCCACAGGGCTCATCGCGTCTGTGGTGGCTCTCTCTGGGCCTGCTCATCTGCGCCAAGGCTCTCTGGGGCTGAAGGAAAGGCGTGAGTGAGAGGCACTGTGTTTCCCCCTTCCCCACCCCACAGGGCTCATCGCGTTTGTGGTGGCTCTGGGCCTGCTCATCCGCGCCAAGGGCTCTCTGGGCCTGATGGGCTGCTCCTCGCCCTTTCTCCGTCCCTCCTATCCCATGTGCGTGCCCTTGTGGTTTCCCTTGTGGCTGCCCGCCCCCTACCCACACGCACAGGGCTCAGTGCGCTTGTGGTGGCTCTGGATTTGCTCATCGTCGCCAGGGGCCCTCTGGGGCTGCTGACAAAGGGCGTGAAGCGCGTTGTGCTGCTGACAGGTGGCGGCACGCCATTGGAGGAGGCCAGCGAAGGCTCCAACGAGGAGCAGGTGTGTGGAAAGAAGGGAAGGTAAGGTGGGGATTTAAGGAGCAATCACACTTTCTCCTGCTGCCCTCTGTGCCTAAGTCCATTTTCCCATTTCCCCATTTCCCCGTTTCCCCATTTCCCCATTTCCCCATTTCCCCACTTCCCCACTTCACTAGGTGGCTCTTCTTTTCTTGTCCGTTCTCCTCCCAAATAACATTGGTAGCTGTGCTGGGAAGATGCGCCAGTACCGCATCACTCTGCTGTGCGGTTTGTTCCCTGCTCCAATCGGTACGCCCATTCACCAGTTCACTCACTATGGTCATCCATTCTCCTCCCAGGTGGCAACGGTTGCAGCAAAATTGCGCGAGTACAGCATAAATCTGCACGCTGTGCTGCTGAAAGGGAGGGTGGACGGCGAGGGGGCAGAGGCAGGAGCAGCGGAGGACGATGGGGGGCTAGGGGAAGGAAGGGAAGGGGTCAGGGAGTTTGCTGATGAGAACGAGAAGCTGCTGAGAAGGTTCTTTGATGCGGGGGCTTGCAGGGACCACGGGGGTCGAAGGGACGAGCAGGAGAAATTGAAGGAGGAAGATGGGGGAGGGTACGGGAAACGGTGCAAACGGGAAGAGAATGGGACAGGTGATGCAAGGGCGGAGAGAGGAGGTGGGGCGGATGAGGAGGAGGAGGAGGAAAAAGGTGTTGGGAGCGGTGGTGTGGTGTGTGGAGGGGAGCTGCGAGTGGTGGCGTCGCTGGCAGCAGCGGGCATGCTGTATCGGGTGAAGCCGCGAGTGCTGCCCACCACTTCATACCGAGGGGACCTGCTAGTAGCTCCCGGGTTTACCATCAAGGTGAGGAGGCGCCTCAAGAGGTGTGGTGTGGTGTGGTGTGGTGTGGTGTGGTGTGGTGTGGTGTGGTGTGGAGGGGAGCTGCGAGTGGTTGGGTGTCTGGGCATTGCCACTTGCAGCAGCGGGCATGCTGTATCGGGTGAAGCCGCGAGTGCTGCCCACCACGTCGTACCGAGGGGACTTGCTGGTAGCTCCTGGATTCACCATCAAGGTGTGAAACAAGCTGTGAATGGTTTGTTTCCCATTCATTCTCTCTTTCTTTCCAAGCATCACCAGCAGCATTGCCAACAGTTGCGCCAAGGGCACAGCAGCAGTCTCATCAGCACCAGCCAGCAGCGGACATCCCTCCCCATCCCTCCCCATCCCTCTGCGTCCTTTTCTCACTCATCCCCAGGTCTGGGCATACAAAAAGACTTTCCCCCAACGCCTCCCTCCCCTCAAGCTCCACCTCACCCTATGAACCCTCTCCATCCCTCCCCATCCCTCTCCATCCCTCCCCATCCCTCTCCATCCCTTCCCATCCCTCTCCATCCCACTCCATCCCTCTCCATCCCTCTCCATCCCTCCCCATCCCTCTCCATCCCTTCCCATCCTTCTGCATCCTTTTCTCACTCATCCCCAGGTCTGGGCATAAAAAAAGACTTTCCCACAACACCTCCCTCCCCTCAAGCTCCACCTCACCATATGAAAGTTGACGCTCCCATTCCTTCCCATCCGTCCCTTTCCCTTCCCCATCCCTACCCAACGGCCCACACTCCCAGGTCTGGCCATACAAGAAAACCTTCCCCCAACGCCCCCCTCCCCTCAAACTCCACCTCACCATATGAAAGTTGTCGCTCCCATTCCTTCCCATCCGTCCCTTTCCCTTCACCATCCCTACCCAACGGCCCACACTCCCAGGTCTGGTCCTACAAGAAGACCTTCCCCCAACGCCTGCCTCCCCTCAAGCTCCTCTCCCGCCTCGCCCCTCCCTCCGACCCCTCTGCCACTGGGGACGTGAAGCTGTATCAGGTGCACAGAACGGTGGAGAACGGTTTCAAGAGTGCTGTTGCAGTGTAATGGGGCACATGAACTGAGCCTCTTCTTTCCTTCCTCATCCTTCTTCATCCCTCCATGTCCCACACCCACACTCCCAGGTCTGGTCCTACAAGAAGACCTTCCCTCAACGCCTGCCTCCCCTGAAGCTCCTCTCGCTCCTCGCCCCTCCCTCCGACCCCTCTGCCAAGGGAGACGTGAAGATGGAGAGAGAATGCAGAGTGGTGGAGAGCGGTGCCAGCTTGGGAGGTGAAGTGTGGCATAAGAGACAAGGAATTCGCTTTTCTCATCCTTCCCCATCCCACCTGATCCCTCTCCAACTCACACTCCCAGGTCTGGTCCTACAATAAAACTTTCCCCCAGCGCCTGCCTCCCCTCAAGCTCCTCTCCCGCCTCGCCCCTCTCTCCGATCCCTCCGCCACTGGGGACGTGAAGCTGTATCAGGTGCACAGAACGGTGGAGAACAGTGGAGAGCGGTGGAGAGTGTGGGCAGTGTGGTGTGGCGAAGGCGAAATGCGGCGTATGGAGAGAAGCAATTCTTTCCTTCCTTCCCATCCCGCCCTGTCGTCCCTCCGCCCAACCTGTTAGGTCTGGTCATACAAGAAGACCTTCCCCCAGCGCCTCCCTCCCCTGAAGCTCCTCTCCTGCCTCGCCCCTCCCTCTGATCCCTCCGCCACTGGAGACGTGAAGATGGAGAGAGAGTACCGAGTGGTGGAGAGCGGTGCAGATGGGCACGGGGAGGGCGGAGGGGGCGGGGGGGATGAAGGAGGGGAAGGGGAGGAAGGGGGTGGAGGAGAGAGAGGAGAGGGAGGAGGTGAGGAGCTGGAGACAGTTGGGTTGGATGAGCTTGTGAGGGCGTACAAGTATGGGCCGCAGGTGGGTCTCAGAGTCAACGCAAGTCAACTCGAGTCTTGAGTCAACTTAAAAGTCACCACAGGTTAATGGTGAGGAGAGGGAGGGGGCAAGGAGCTGGAGACAGTGGGGTTGGATGAGCTTGTGCGAGCGTACAAGTATGGGCCTCAGGTGGGTTTTGTAGGTCAATGCGAGTCTTGAGTTGACTCACAAGTCACCTTGGGTTAATAACGAGGAGCTGGAGACAGTGGGGTTGGATGAGCTTGTGCGCGCGTACAAGTATGGGCCTCAGGTGGGTTTTGTAGGTCAACTCAAGTCGATATCGCTTTTTGCTTTTCCTTCTGGCGTTTTGAATGTCCAGACTAAACTGAGATGTTGAGCCTGGTTATCAATTAGTATACGTCCTCCCACCAAACCCCCCTTCCTCCACGCTCGTCCCCCCCTTTTTCCCCTCCCTCCCATCATCCCTAGGTCATTCCAGTGAGTGAGTATGATCGCATGGCAAACCGGTTTCACGCAGAAAAGGGGATCCAGATAATCGGCTTCACAATGCGAGACCAAATCCCCAGGTGATTGCACACGTGATATAAGAAGTGTTTTGAGACGTCTCAAAACAGACAAGGGGATCCAGATAATCGGCTTCACAATGCGAGACCAAATCCCCAGGTGATTGCAAAGTGCCCTGCAGTGTCTGTCTTTCCATGGATCTTGCTCTGGGTCATTGAGGTGACTTTTGTTTGAAAGAGGTGAATGACAGGGGACAAAAATAACATTGATTATTGTGCATGTGGCACTGGCATGGCATGGTATTTCATCCCAGGCACTACTTCATAAAGGGCACGGCCATTCTCCTCCCCGAGCCCACCAACACCAAGGCCTCTCTCGCCCTCTCACACACACCCTTGCTGTACCTCACACATTGTTTTGTGCCCATACCAGGCACTATTTCCGCAAGGACACAGCAATCCTCCTGCTTCAGCCCAGTTGCATTCGCCCTCTCACACCCTTACCGCACCTCCCTCACATCCTCCTCCCCGAGCCCACCAACACCAAGGCCGCTCTCGCCCTCTCACATGCTCACTGCACCTCCTCACATCTGTATGATTTTTTGTGTGCACGTGGCAATGGCAGGCACTATTTCATAAAGGACACGGCCATTCTCCTCCCCGAGCCCACCAACACCAAGGCCGCTCTCGCCCTCTCACATGCTCACTGCACCTCCCTCACATCTGTATGATTTTTTGTGTGCACGTGGCAATGGCAGGCACTATTTCATAAAGGACACGGCCATTCTCCTCCCCGAGCCCACCAACACCAAGGCCGCTCTCGCCCTCTCACATGCTCACTGCACCTCCCTCACATCTGTATGATTTTTTGTGTGCACGTGGCAATGGCAGGCACTATTTCATAAAGGACACGGACATTCTCCTCCCCGAGCCCACCAACACCAAGGCGGCTCTCGCCCTCTCACATGCTCACTGCACCTCCCTCACATCTGTATGATTTTTTGTGTGCACGTGGCAATGGCAGGCACTATTTCCTAAAGGACACGGCCATTCTCCTCCCCGAGCCCACCAACACCAAGGCCGCTCTCGCCCTCTCAGCCCTCGCCCAGGCCATGGAAGCTTCCGGGAAGGTGGCCATCGTGCGGTTCAAGCTCACCAACCGGGCCGACTCGGGCGTTGCACTCGGCGTGCTGACGCCGTGGTGTAGCGGGAAGCGAGGGTTCACAGAAGAGGAGGATGATGCTGTGGTGAGTTGAAGAGGGATGTGTGTGTGTGTGTGTTGAGGAGGATATGTGTGTAATGAGTGCGTACATGCATCCTTGGTGTGTGTGTCGTCACACACACTCACGGATTCAACCTCATCTCCCCCCCCCTCATCTCTCCGCCTCTTCGCCCATGTCACGTTCTCAGCCTGTTCGACACGCTCCTCCCAACCCAAGTGAAGATATTATGAATCCCTTGTGTCGTGCCCCCTTCTCCCCATCTTCACCTATCCCCACCCCCGAATGCTCACCCCGACCTGCTGCTTCCATTACCATGCCCAATCTCCTGATATAAGTGTAGTTTTGATTGAGACGTCTCGAATCTCCCTCTCCTCCCCATTTTTCCCCACCACGCTTCCCCTCCCCTCCCCTCCCCTCCCCTCCCCTCCCCTCCCCTCCCCTCCCCTCCCCTCCCCTCCCCTCCCCTCCCCTCCCCTCCTCTCCCCTCCCCTCCCCTCCTCTCCCCTCCCCTCCCACGCAGCCCAATCTACTGCTATTCAACACCATCCCCTTCCGCGAGGACATCCGGGTGTCCCTTACGTTGTGTGTCACCTCCTCCCCCCCGCAACATCTAACCTCATCCCTCCCCCCTCTCTCCCACCCTGTGTTCATGTCGCATGACCAGCCCGACCTGCTGCTATTCAACACCATCCCCTTCAGTGAGGACATTCGGGAGTTCTCCTTCCCGTCCCTCGAGGCCGCGCCGCCCAATCAACAGCCGACAGCTGTCCAGAGCAGCACAGCAGCAGCTCTGGTCCAGGCGATGTCTCTAGTGCGGTGCAGTGAGGTGGAGGAGGATGATGAGGAGTACAATAAGGAGGAGAGGGTGGGTGAGGATGAGAAGCTGAGACCAGAAGACACACCCAGCCCGGCACTGCAGGTACTTCTCTCTTTCTCTCTCCCTGCAGCACAGCACTAATAACAATTTCATTCATTCCTCCATTCCAAGTTTCCCAATCCGTTTCCCCTCCCCCTCTTGCTGTTCACCCCTCCCACCCTCCCACTCTCCCTCTCATTCTCCCATCCTCCCTCTCTCATTCTCCCACCCTCCCCTTCCCCCCAATCATAGCACTTCCACGATTCCAAGGCCCCCATATTGCCTCTCCCTGGTGCTCTTGCTGTTCACCCCTGTCACCCACACACTCTCCCACTCCTACTTTCTCACTCTCCTTCCTCCCCTTCCCATCCCCACAGCACTACTATGCTTTCATCTGTGCCGTGCCGTGCCCGGGTCCTCCACTCCAAGGCCCACATATCGCCTCTCCCTGCCTCTCTAGCTGTTTTGCCCTCCCACCCTCCCAATTTCACCCTTCCCATCCCCACAGCACTACTACGACTTCATCCGTGCCCGAGTCCTCCAACCCAAGGCCAAGATACCGCCACTCTCTGCCTCTCTAGCTGTTCAGCCCTCTCATTCTCCCATCCACTCTTCCCCCCTTCCCCCCCCCATCGCAGCATTACTACGACTTCATCCGAGCTCGAGTCCTCCAACCCAAGGCCTGCATACCGCCACTCCCTGCCGCCCTCGCCGCCCCTCTCTCCCACCCGCTCTCTGCCGACCATCCTGCCGCCCGGTCCTTCGCTGCTGCCTTCCCTGCCCTTGGGGATCACACTGCGGTGAGTTGAAGCAGGTGGGTTGAAGCACGCACGGTCAGCTGAAGTGTGGTGAGTTGAAGCACGGTGAGTCTTCGTGGCCTGGGCTGATCTTGTATTCGACTCGAAAGCCATCCTGCCGCCCGGACCTTTGCTGCTGCTTTCCCTGCCCTGGCTGACCACACCGCGGTGAGTTGAAGCAGGTGGGTTGAAGCAGCATGGGTCTTAGGTGGCCCAACACATGTTGTGGCACAAGCTGTACTTTGCTGTTTCGCACCTTGACTCGCTCCGCGGCTCAAAGAGGCATTCTCTTCGTTGCATTCCTACCCGTGACCATTCCCGGTGCGCTTTTCAGCCTCTCTCGCAGCAGCCTGTACAGCTATCTCAGGCAGAACCTTCCCCAGAGGAGCCTGCACCAGTTGCACTCGCCCCAGGCCGAGCAGATATTCCTGAAGCCAAGGAGCAAAGCATGGAGACGAGCACCGGGCCTTCAGGTGTGAGACACCCTACACAGCTCACACAACAACACCCTACTTGCTGACATGGTGTGGGACAGGCTGCAGCACAGATCCATCTGGTGTTGCTAGCACACACGTTTTGAGTCTCGTAACTCGTTTTTAGAACGGAGTTGAGACGTATTCAAATTTATGCATCCCTGTGGGATGGGTGGCTGGTGTGCTGGTGCAGCGTGGGTGGGACATCTCGCACATGGCTTTGATCGCAGCAGAGTCTGTGAGTCCGAGCACATGTTGTTCCATGAGACACAGTGGGCCGGTAAAAGCACGAGTGTAAGACTTAGCTGTACCGTGATCAGAGCAAACCCGCCTGGTGTTACGGCAGCAATATAAAAATATGAATACCATACAGCAACAAAGGGCATGCTACAACGACTTTTGAGGGGCCTCAAAAGAGGAGCAGGTTGTGACAGAACTTGTCGTGAGTCGTCGTAAAAAGGCAGGTTAGAAGATGACTGAGCCTGGGAGGAAGAGCTCTGACTCAAGCTGCTGCAGCATGTGACAGATGGCATTGCACACTGCGATTGCAGGTTTCTGAATGCAAAACAGAATGGAGGGGAGGAGGAGGGGAGGTTGGAAAGGGTAAAGAGAGCATGACAGGAAGCGAATGAGAACCGGTAGTGGGAGGGAGAGAGCTCTGACTCGAGATGCTGCAGCATGTGGCAGATGGCGTTGCACACTGCGATTGCCGGCTTCTGAACACACGGGAATGAGGGAGGGGGGGTTGGGAGTAGAGAGGAGCACGACAGGAAGAGAATGAGAAATCGCAGTGGGGGCTGAGAGCTCTGACTCAAGCTGCTGCAGCATGTGGCAGATGGCGTTGCAATCCGCGATTGCCGGCTTCTGAACACACAGAAACCGGGGGACGCGGGGCGGGGGTGAGAGGGATTTCAAGGGATGTAGGGAGCAGAAGAAGCATATGAGAGTTGATAGGAGGGAGGGCCACTGCAGCATGGGGCAGATGGCGTTGCACACTGCGATTGCAGGCTTCAGAGAAACACAGAGAATGGACGGGTGGGGGGATGGGGGGAGGGGGATTGGGAAGGGTAGAGAGAGCATGACAGGAAGCGAATGCAAGTGGAAGTGGGGTGAAGAGAGGTGGTAGCACAGAGCATGGAAGAGAGCTCCAACTCTGGGGACAGCAATGAGCCGCCTTTTTGCACTCTGAGTATTTGACAATGGGAAGAAGATGGTAGCGGATTAGCATCCTAGGTCATGCCATCCCATGCCATGCCATCCCATGCCATCTCATGCCAATCCAACCCATCCCATGCCATGCCATGTCATGCCATGCCATCCCATGCCAATCCAACCCATCCCATGCCACCAACCTCACCTTAGTTGCGAGAGGGTCGAATGCAGCCATGATCTCAAAGTCAGGCGTTCGCCAGGAGAGCAGCACTGCAGGGGATGGGGTGAGGGGAGAGAGGAGGGGGAAGGGAAGAGAGAGGAGAAATGAGGGAAGAGAAGAGAGGGAGTACGGACAGAACGGACAGAACAACTCGGCTCGGAGGGTCGAATGCAGCCATGATCTCACAGTCAGGCGTTCGCCAGGAGAGCAGCACTACAGGGGATGGGGTGAGGGAAGACAGGGGGGCGAGGGAAGAGAGGAGAGGGAAGGGAAGAGGGGAAATGGCAAAGAACAAACAAGATGACAAATGCAGCCATGATAGAACAAAGGGATGACTTTTGAGTCGATTCAGAAGTCACCTCAGAACAGTAATAGGCCTGGAATAAGAGCTGAGTCAAGACTAAAGAGGCAGGAAAAGGCAGGAAATTCAATGAAACAGCAATGTGGCTGAAATGCTTCTTTCAGGGGGTCCTGTATATTGTCGACTCGAAAGTCGTCATGTAGGTGCATATATGATGCAATGGAATGCGCATATGCAAATTAAGTTCCTATGTGAGGATGGGCATTGGGCAACATATGCGACTAAATGCTAAGAATCTCAAGCTCAGATAGAACGAGCGACTCAAACGTTCAGGGTCGAAATGTTCAGGGTCGAGGCATGTCTTACCAAAGTCCTTGGTTCGTCTGTACTGCGTCTTGATGCCGCCCGGCACGGGGCAGCTGCCGCCCGTTTCCATCGCAGCCAGCAATGATGATGCTGCCGTGGACGATGAGGATGCTGACATGGCAGAGGAGGCTGCTGACGTGGCGCTACCAGTAGCGTGCGGTGCGGTGACGGGGGTCTGAGCTGTCATGGAAGAGTGCATGGTCTGATAGGCCCGCAGGAGACTGTTTCCAAGCGAGGAAAACGGGGCGGACGGGGAGAAATGGGGGGAGAAGAATGGCAAGGAGAGGAAAGGGAAGCGACAGAGGTGGAGTGGGGGTGGGGATGAAAGGGGAAGTGAGTGAAGAGAGGTGTGAGCTGTCATGGAGTGTTGTGCATGGTTTGAAAGGCTTGCACGAGAAGAGGGGTTTACCAGGTTACAGGAGAGAGGCAGAAACAACTGCCATGACGAGCTGGCACAGAGGCATGCTCCCCTCAACACTGTGAAAGTAGCAAATTGAACAAGTGATCAGATTAGAGGAACAACCTAGCATACATAGTTGGAAGGGAAGGTTGGAAGGGAAGGATGAAAGTGACCATAGGTTGGGTTGACCTCACTTGGGGAAGTGAGGGAACCATAGGTCAAGTGGGTTGGGTTGCCCACACTTTGTAGAAGTGAGGCAACCCTAGGCCCACTTAGCTTGGGGTAACCTCAATTGTGGGAAGTGAGGTACCCACAAGTCAAGAGGGTTGCATTTGGGGGCTCCACCACAATTGGGTGGATTGGCACCCCAAAGTGCAAGACTACACCCAAAGTTGGGTGTAGTCCCAACCCAACTGTACACCACAATTGGTGTACAGTCACATGTGTTGGCATGCTACACAATATATATTTTAACACAACCCCTTAGCATGCTAACACAAGAAGAGAACAACCCCTGAATCAAGGGGCGCCCGGGCGAGCAAGGCCAATGAGGCGGAGGAAGGCAGAGTGCGCGGGGCGAAGGAGGGCCTTAGTGAAGATGTCGGCCAAGTTGGCCTCGGTTGCAATCTTGCGAACGGCAATGAGGCCCTTCTGGACGAGCTCGCGAACGAAGAAGTAGCGGAGTTCGATGTGCTTGGAGCGGGCGTGATAGACGGGGTCCTGAGTGAGATGGATGGTGCTGGCGTTGTCGCACCAGAGAGTGGGGCACGTCTGGGGGGCGCCAAGCTCCGCAAGAAGGAAGCAGAGCCAGCGCGACTCCTGGGCGGCCATGGTGCCAGCGTAGAGCTCGGCTTCGCAGGTGGAGAGAGAGATGGCGGAGGAGCGGGTGGAGCGCCAGCTGATGAGGCCGCTGCCAAGGGTGAAGCCGTAGCCCTGGGAGGAGCGGCGGTCCGGCTGCGTGTCAGCCCATGAGGAGTCACTGAAGCCCGAGAGAAGGGGACGGGAAGGGCCGCCGAGGGTGAGGGCAAGGTCCCTGGTCCCGCGAAGGTAGCGGAGGACCCGCTTGGCAGCTTTCCAGTGCTCCTCAGAGTGACGACCGGTGCCGACAAAGCGAGCGAGCACGCTGATGGGGTAGGCGAGGTCGGGGCGGGTGCACATCATTGCGTACATCAAGGACCCAACGAGCTCGGCATAGGGGTGGGGGGAGGAGGTGGGGGAGGTGGGTGGAGCGAGTTGGTGACCGAAGGGGAGCGGGGTGGAAACAGGCTTGGCTTGCGCCATGTCGAACTTCTCCAAGACCTGGCCGATGTAATGGGACTGGGAGAGGGTGATTGTGCGAGCAGGGCGGTTGCGCGTGATGGTCATGCCGAGGTAGTGAGTGAGGGCGCCAAGGTCCTTGCACTTGAGCCGCTGCTGCAGGGACAGCTTCACCTGCTCCATGTCGGCCTTGGTGTCAGAGAGCAGGATCATGTCGTCGACATATACCAGAATGAAGAAGCGGCGGGGGGAGGAGCGGATGAAGAGGCTGGCGTCGGAGTGGGAAGCAGAGAAGCCGAGGGACCCCAAGGTGGCAGCCAGCTTCGCATGCCACTCACGTGGTGCCTGCTTCAAGCCGTAGACGGGGCGACGCAGCTGCCAGACAGTGTTCTCAGGAAAGGCTGCGTGGAACCCGGGGGGTCGCCGGAGGAAAATGCGCTCATGCAGGTCGCCCTGCAGGAACGCATTGGAGACGTCCATGGAGTCGATTTCCATGTCGTCACGTGCACCAATGTCCATGGCGGCGCGAAGGGTGGGTGGTTTGGCGGTGGGGGCGTAGGTGAACCAGTAGTCCTCAGCCCAAGTCTGCGTGAACCCCTTGGCGCAGTAGCGGGCCTTGTACACTGGTTCCTCGCCCGGCAGCTGCTTCACCCGAAAGACCCATTTGCCGTCAACGAGATTAGCGCCAGCAGGGAGGGGGACATCGACAAAGGAGTCGTTGCGAATGAAAGCCTCACACTCCAGGAAGATCGCTGCTATCCATTTATCCGCATCAGGGCAGGTGATGGCTTCCTGGAAGGTGGAGGGAGTGAAGATGGTGGGGGTAGTAGTGGCGCCAAGGACAGGAAAGCCCAGGAAGTCAAGGTAGAGGGCGGCAAGGAATGGAGTGTGCTCCCGAATGTTGAGGAACTCCTCATGGGAGTCCTCAAGGAGCTGAATGGAGGCAGGAGGAGGAGCCCCAAGGATTTTGTCCACCGAGCGGGTATGGATGTAAGGGAGGAGGAAGGGGGAGGAGCGGGAAGTGGCACGGCGCCGCTGCTGCTGCTGCTGCTATCCCGGCTGCTGCTGATGCGGCTGCCCCGGCTGCTGCTGCTGCTGCTGCTGCTCCGGCTGCTGCTGCTGCTGCTGCTGCTGCTGCTGCTGCTGCTGCTGCTGCTGCTGCTGCTGCTGCTGCTGCTGCCCCGGCTGCTGCTGCTGCTGCCCCTGCTGCCGTTGCTGGTGTTGCTCCCGCTGCTGCTGCTGCTGCTGCTGCTGCTGCTGCTGCTGCTGCTGCTGCTGCTGCTGCTGCTGCTGCTGCTGCTGCTGCTGCTGCTGCTGCCCCTGCTGTTGCTGATCCGGCTGCTGCTGCTGCTGCTGCCCCTGCTGTTGCTGATCCGGCTGCTGGAAAGGAGGAGAATGAGAGGAGGAGGGAGAGGGGGGAGGGGGTGCAGCTGAGTGAGCGGGGGAGGCGGGTGCGGCAGGGTCGTAGACGTCGGCAGAGGAGGAAGGCGGGAGTGGGGCGGCGACAGGTGGGAGGAGAGGCGCTGGAGGGATAAGAGGCGGGAGGATGGTGTCGGTCCAAGCGAGGGGGCGAGTGGGAGGAGGGAGGGGGTCAGGAGGAGGGGTGGAGTAGTAGGGAGTGGACTCGTCGAAGACGACGTCAATGCTGCGGATGAGGCGATTGGTGGGAGGGTGGAGGAATAGGTAGCCTGGGGAATCACGATTGTGCCCAAGGTAGACGCACTCCAGAGCGCGAGGAGCGAGCTTGCCAGCAGCGCGGGAGCGGTCGGCCGGTGGAATGAGGACGAACGCCTTGCAGCCCCAAACACGAAGGCCTGCGGCGTCAGGCTTGGCCTTGGACCAGAGTTCTGTGGGGGAGGAGGAGGGATGCTGAGGGTGGGAGCGGAGATTGAGGAGGAGGGCGGCATGAATGAGGGCATAGCTCCAGAGGGAGGGAGGGGTGGAGGCGTGAGCAATGAGGCAGCGCGCAATCTTGGTGATCTCACGGATGCGACTCTCAGCGATGCCGTTTTGCTGAGGGGAGTGGGGAAGGGTGGTGGTCTGCTGAATGCCGTATGTTTTGCAGTAAGTGGAGAGAGTATGATTGATGAACTCACCCCCACCGTCAGAGTGAAGGCGGCCTATGGGACGTTTGAAGTGGTTGCGGCACTGCTCAGCCCAGTTGATGACCACAGCCGGCACCTGGTCTTTCGTGTGAAGAAAGAAGACGGTGGAGTACCGACTGTGGTCGTCGACGAGCACGAGCATGTACCTGTGCCCCTGACGGGAGCGGATGGGATAAGGGCCCCAGAGATCCATGTGAACAAGGTCAATGGGGGCGGGAGCGAAGGTGGGATGACTGTGATGGGGGGACTGTTTGAGCTTGCCATGAATGCATGATGGGCATGGGGGAGCAGGGGAGGAGGGGAGGGGAGGTAAGGTGGGAGGAAGGCTGTTAAGGAGGCGAGAGGTGACGGTGGAGCGAAGTGCGGCGAAGTTGGGATGGCCGAGTCTGTGATGTAGGAGCACTGCAGGATGGGAGAGGGCAGTAGAGGAGGAGGGGGATGGGGTGGGGGAAAAGTTGGGGGGGGAGGAGGAGGCGGATGGAGTAGAGGAGGAGGATATCGGAGGAGGGGGAGGGGGAGGGTGAGGGGGAGGGAGAAGGGGACCGGTGGAAGTACCAGCACGAGTGGTGACGTGACAAAAGGAGGGACGGGGTGTGCGGAGCGTGTAATGGCGAGTGCGAGGGCAAAGGGGAATGCGCAGGAGGAAACGACCAGAGGCGGTGTGGTAGAGATCGCAGTAGGAAGCAAAGCCAGGGTATATGGCGGTAATGCCAACGCCTTGGAGTTCACGGTGGGAGAGGAGGTTATTGCGAAGGGTAGGGATGTGGAGACCGGTGACTGTACCGGATGGGAAGGCGGTGCAAGGAAGGGTGGAGAGGTGAGTGCAGGGGATGGAAAAGCTGGAGTCGGCACCATGAACCTGGGTGGGAAGTGGAAGGGGGGTGAGGGTGCCAGCGTCTTTTAGTGCGGTTTCGGTGGCCCCACTGTCAAGGACAAAGTCCAGGGTGGGGGGGGAAGGAGAGGGAGGGAACACAGAGTACTGGAGAGTTGTTTCATGGATAGAAGAGGGAGAGAGCGGCGGGTGCTGCTGCTGTAAGTACTGTTGCTGCTGCGGCTGCTGCGGTGGGAGAGACTGTGACGGTTGCGGCTGGAGAGATTGGGCTGCTGCTGCTGCTGGAAGCACCGCCGATGCTGCCGCGGTTGCTGCGGCTGGAGAGATTGTGGTGGCTGCTGCTGCTGGAAGCACTGCTGCTGCTGCGGATGGAGAGAACTGTGGCTGGTGCTGCTGCTGGAAGCACTGCTGCTGCTGCGGCTGAAGAAACTGTGGCTGCCGCTGCTGCTGGAAGGACTGCTGCTGCTGCGGCGGAAGGAACTGTGGCAGCTGCTGCTGCTGGAAGCACTGCTGCTGCTGCGGCTGAAGAGACTGTGGCTGCTGCTGCTGCAGGAAGGACTGCTGCTGCTGCGGTGGAAGGAACTGTGGCAGCTGCGATTGCTGGAAGGACTGCCGCTGCTGCGGCTGGAAGGACTGCTGCTGCTGGGGATGGAGAAACTGTGGCGGGTGAGGCTGGAGAGATTGCGGCTGCTGTTGGTGTTGGAAGAACTGCTGCTGCTGCGATTGCCGCGGCTGGAGGAGATGTGGGGGGTGCGGCTGGAGAAATTGTGGTTGCTGCCGCTGCTGGAAGTCCTGCTGCTGCTGATGCTGGAGCTGCTGGAAACGCCGCAGATGGGGAGGGGGGGAGGGGGTGAGCAGGCGGAGATAAGGGGGGGGGGAGGAGTGGAGGGTCGGAGTGTTGAGAAGGGAGGGGCGAGGAGTAACACTGCTCCAGTGAGGAGGGGGGAGAGGGGCAGGGGGGGTAGCAGTCATGATGGGCGACGGCGGGTGGACCCGCGGCGGCCAAGGGTGAAGTTGCTGCTGCGGAGGCTGCTGCACTTCCCCTGCTGCCGCTGCTGCTGCCGCTGGCAGGAGGAGGGAGGGGGGGGGGGGGGGGGGTAAAGGAGGGAGACAGCGGTGGAGGGCAGAGGCGTTCAAGGTGCAGGGAGCGACGGTGACAAGGGCGCAGGCGGCTGTGCGAACGTGCGGCGGCGGGAAGGGGAGGCGGTGGCAAAGTCGGGGGCGGCGGCGGCGAGCAGGCCGCGACGACGAGGGGCGCAGGCGACGGCGGAAGGGCCGCGGCGGCGAAACGAGGGACGGCGGCGGCAGGCAGGCCGCGGCAACGAGGGGCGCAGGGGGAGGGGGAGGGGGGGGGAGAGGAGTAGGGAGAGGAGGAAGGGAGGGTGCAGTTGCGGCTGAATCTGCAGGCGGCGACGGGGCAGTCACGGCGGCAGGAAGTGTGGGCGGGGATGGCGCGGTCGCGGTGGAGGATGGGCAGGCGGCGCCGAAGCAGTCGCGGCGGTAGGGCGGCGGCGGCGCAGTGGCGTTAACGGGAACCGCGGGGCGACGATGTTGCAGTTGCGGCGGGGGAAATTGCGGGAGGGTGGCGATGCAGAAGGGGCAGCGAGATGCGTGGGTGACGCGGAAGCAGGTGCGGCGGTGGGAGGGGAGGCGGCAATGCGAAATCGCGGCGGGGGGGGGGGGGGGGGGGGGGGGGGGGGGTGGGGGCGGGGAGGTGACGACGAGCAGTCGCGGCGGCGGAATGCGCAGGCGGCGATGTTAGGTCGCGGCGGCGGGACGGGCAGGGGGCGACGAGCTGTCGCGGCGGCGGGACGGGCAGACGGCGCCGAAGCAGGCGCGGCGGCAGGAAGGGGAGGCGGCGACGTGACGTCGCGGCGGAGGGACGGGCAGGCGGCGACGAGGCGTCGCGGCGGCGGGATGCGCAGGCGGCGCCGAAGCAGGCGCGGCGGCGGGAACGCGGCGACGAGACGTCGCGGCGGAGGGACGAGCAGGCGGCGACGAGGTGTCGCGGCGGCAGGATGCGCAGGCGGCGCCGTAGCAGGCGCGGCGGCGGGAACGCGGCGACGAGACGTCGCGGCGGAGGGACGGGCAGGCGGCGACGAGGCGTCGCGGCGGCAGGATGCGCAGGCGGCGCCGAAGCAGGCGCGGCGGCGGGAACGCGGCGACGAGACGTCGCGGCGGAGGGACGGGCAGGCGGCGGAGGGACGGGCAGGCGGCGACGAGGCGTCGCGGCGGCAGGATGCGCAGGCGGCGCCGTAGCAGGCGCGGCGGCGGGAACGCGGCGACGTGACGTCGCGGCGGAGGGACGGGCAGCGGGCAGGCGGCGACGAGGCGTCGCGGCGGCAGGATGCGCAGGCGGCGCCGAATCAGGCGCGGCGGCGAGAAGGGGAGGCGGCGACCGGGGGTCGCGGCGGGGGGGAGGAGGGGACAGCGGCGTTGCGCTCGCGGCGGTGGAATCCGCAGGCGAGGAAGGCGTTATCGCGGCGGGAGGGGGGGGGGAACGGCGGCGACGGCGTAGGTCGCGGCAAGAGTATGCTAGTGATGGCTAGTTGAGCCACGCGTAGGAAAGGGTTTGTAGCTGTGGGGTGGGCCCATGGGAAAAAAAAAAAACTGAAGGGAGGGAGAGGTAAGGCCTAGGAACAAGTAGCTCTATACCATGTGAAAGTAGCAAATTGAACAAGTCATCAGATTAGAGGAACAACCTAGCATACATAGTTGGAAGGGAAGGTTGGAAGGGAAGGATGAAAGTGACCATAGGTTGGGTTGACCTCACTTGGGGAAGTGAGGGAACCATAGGTCAAGTGGGTTGGGTTGCCCACACTTTGTAGAAGTGAGGCAACCCTAGGCCCACTTGGCTTGGGGTAACCTCAATTGTGGGAAGTGAGGTACCCACAAGTCAAGAGGGTTGCATTTGGGGGCTCCACCACAATTGGGTGGATTGGCACCCCAAAGTGCAAGACTACACCCAAAGTTGGGTGTAGTCCCAACCCAACTGTACACCACAATTGGTGTACAGTCACATGTGTTGGCATGCTACACAATATATATTTTAACAAACACCCCCTCGCCCCCCACGCACTCACGTCTTCTGCTGCCGCCTGTTGATGAGCGCCGGGGGGAACTTGGCCATGACAAACTGCCGCAGAGGCAGCACAACTCCCCTCCCCCGCAACCTTCCCCTTCCTCTCAACACCCCCTCGCCCCCCACGCACTCACGTCTTCTGCTGCCGCCTGTTGATGAGCGCCGGGGGGAACTTGGCCATGACAAACTGCCGCAGAGGCAGCACAACTCCCCTCCCCCGCAACCTTCCCCTTCCTCTCAACACCCCGTCGCCCCCCACGCACTCACGTCTTCTGCTGCCGCCTGTTGATGAGCGCCGGGGGGAACTTGGCCATGACAAACTGCCGCAGAGGCAGCACAACTCCCCTCCCCCGCAACCTTCCCCTTCCTCTCAACACCCCCTCGCCCCCCACCCACTCACGTCTTCTGCTGCCACCGGTCACTCAACGCTGCAGGGAACTCGGCCAGGGCGAACTGGTGCAGAGGGAGCTCACGTAACCCTACAAGCCCCACCCACACACCTACCCACCCACCCACCCACCCACCCACACACCCACACACCCACCCACCCACACACCTACCCACCCACCCACCCACCCACCCACCCACCCACCCACCCACCCACCCACCCACCCACCCACCCACACAGCGCCCTTCCCCCTGCACTCACATCTTTTGCTGCCGCCTGTCGCTGAGTGCCGGGGGGAACTCGGCCAGGACGAACTGCCGCGGAGGCACAACCCCCCCTTCCCCCTACACCAACCAACTCCCCACGCGCCCCATGCACTCACGTCTTCTGCTGCCGTCTGTCGCTGAGTGCCGGGGGGAACTCGGCCAGGACGAACTGCCGCGGAGGCACAACCCCCCCTTCCCCCTACACCAACCAACTCCCCACGCGCCCCATGCACTCACGTCTTTTGCTGCCGCCTGTCGCTGAGTGCCGGGGGGAACTCGGCCAGGACGAACTGCCGCGGAGGCACAACCCCCCCTTCCCCCTACACCAACCAACTCCCCACGCGCCCCATGCACTCACGTCTTCTGCTGCCGTCTGTCGCTGAGTGCCGGGGGGAACTCGGCCAGGACGAACTGCCGCGGAGGCACAACCCCCCCTTCCCCCTACACCAACCAACTCCCCACGCGCCCCATGCACTCACGTCTTTTGCTGCCGCCTGTCGCTGAGTGCCGGGGGGAACTCGGCCATGACGAACTGCCGCGGAGGCACAACCCCCCCTTCCCCCTACACCAACCAACTCCCCACGCGCCCCATGCACTCACGTCTTTTGCTGCCGCCTGTCGCTGAGTGCCGGGGGGAACTCGGCCAGGACGAACTGCCGCGGAGGCACAACCCCCCCTTCCCCCTACACCAACCAACTCCCCACGCGCCCCATGCACTCACGTCTTCTGCTGCCGTCTGTCGCTGAGTGCCGGGGGGAACTCGGCCAGGACAAACTGCCGCAGAGGCGGCTCACCTGCTTTACAAGCCATACCTTACCAACCAACCAACACCCGCACCCAACCCCCATGCACTCACGTCTTCTGCTGCCGTTGGTCGCTCAGTGCTGGGGGGAATTCCGCCAAGACGAACTGGCGCAGAGGCACGCTGCGGAACACAAAGTGCAGCAGACCCTGCGGGCCCCACATGGGCGCTTCTTGTGCTGCCACCTGCGCTGCTGTCTGTGCTGCCACCCGTGTGGGTGTCTGTGTGCGTGGCTGTGCCGGCACCTGAGGGGATATCTGAGTGGGAATGGCGAGAGGAGGAGGGAGGGAGCGGTTGGAAGGAGCAGATGGGGGCTCGAGAGGAACAGACACTGGGACGTCTGTCGCTGCTGAATCAGTTTCGTGTTGGCCCGCTCCCATACCCAAACCCATACCCAAGCCCACAGCCATGCCCCCTCCCAATACACTTCTCAGCTTTTCCAGTGCCAATATTGCTCCATCCTCCTCCTCTTCATCCTCCTCCTCCTCCTCCTCCTCTTCTCCCTCCTCTCCTTCCTCCGCCCCTTCCCCGCCACCCTCCCCTTCCCTCTCTCCCCCACCACCGAACACCCCGCGGCCTTCTGATTGGTCGAACGCCCCGGAGTAATCATCCTCGTCAGCACCGTCCTCTGATTGGCCCATGGGGATAATATCACACCCCATGCCCGGGCCTAGACCGTATGGATCAGGAAAGGGCAACCCAGGGGGTTGGGGGGAGGGGAGGAGGGCGGGAGAGCGGAAGGGGGAGGAAGAGCGGCGGGAAGAGGGGGAGGGGGAGCGGCGGGCAGGGGAGGAGGAACGGAGAGGGCGGGAGGAGGAGCGAGAAGCAGGGGAAGAGGGGCGTTGGGGAAAGGAGGAGGAGGGCTTAGTGGTTGTGGTGGTGGTTGGAAGGTTGGTGGCGGTGGTGGTAGTGGTGATGCGAGAAGGGGTAGTGAAGCGAGGAGAGGAGGGAGGAAAGGGAGAGAGCCTAGCGTTGTTGTTGTTATTGTTGCTGCTGCTGCTGCTGGTGCTGCTACTGCTAGTAGTGGCAGTGGTGGGGCGAGCGCTCCTATTGGCTGCGGCGGAGATTGCGTCGATGTGTGATTGGACGAGATGAACAGTGACGCCGCGAGATGGAGAGGAAGCTGCGGAGGAAATTTCCTGGAAGATGTTGCACTGTAGCAGCGTGCGTTCCATTGCTACCCTGCAAGAGGAATGAAGGAGACAGTGGGGCGAGAAATCACAAAATGCGTACGTGATTTTATGAACGAATGAGAGTACCTCACCTCACCCTTTTATCTTTCTGGCGCGCGGCAGGGCCTTTCAACTCATCTCACCTCACTGCAGCGTTTCGCCTCACGTCGCTGATTGATTGGAAGTTGTTGGGATCAGCAGATAGCAGCAGCAGCCCCGTGCCTCCCCGCGATTGGTGATAATCATAGCCTGTGTCCCCCTCACCACCAATTCTGCTGCTCTGATCACTGCACCTCACCCTCACCGCACAGCACCTCATCTCACCTCACGTCTTTGAGTGTGTGGAAGCTGTTGGGATCAGCGGAGAGCAGCAGCAGCCCAGTGTCTCCCCGCGACTGATGGTGATCGTACGGCTGTTCCCCGGATCCTCCCTGCTTGCCCCCCTCTCCTGCACCACCAGCACTGCCACAGCCATCACTGCTCATATTGCTGGTGTTGTTCCCGCTGCTGGTGCTGCCATTGCTGTTGTCGTTTCCAGTAGCGGCGTCAGCACCAGCACTTGCTTGCGACCGGGAGGAGGAGCGGGAGGCGTTTGACTGGGGGAGGTTGGAGCGGAGGGAGGAGTGGGAGTGGATGGTGCGAGGGGTGGGCGGCAGCGGTTGCTCTGCGGCCCAGTAGTGCACATAGGCATAGAGGAAAGCGGCGGGGTTGTAGTGAGGGAGGCATACAGGCGTGAAGGACTCAGGCGATGTGCTGGTGGGAGGGAAGGAGGAGGGACGAGAAAGAGGGAGAGAAAGAGGAAGAGAAAGAGGAAGAGAAAGGGAGGGGATGTTTGATTTGTGAGTGAACAGCAGCGGCTGGTCTGCGGCGGTGCACATATGCATAGAGGAAGGCCGCCCGGTGTGTGGAAGGGAGGGACGGAAGGGAAGAGGGAGAATTTGGAGTTCGAGAGTGCAGCAGTGGTTGGCCTGCCGCCCAGAAGTGCACACATGCGTAGAGGAAGGCGGTGGGGTTGTAATCGGGGAGACAAATGGGGGTGAAGGACTCGGGGGATGTGCTGGGAGGGTGGGAAGGAGAGAGGGAAGGAGATATGGGAAGAGAAAGGGCATTGCATTGAATGGCGGGTGAACAGCAGCGGCTGGTCTGCCGCCCAGTAGTGCACATAGGCATAGAGGAAGGCGGCGCCGTGGCGGGGTTGAAGTGGGGCAGACACACAGGGGTGAAGGACCTAGAGGAGGTGCTGGATGGGTGCGAGGGTGGGAGGTGAGGTGAGGAAAATCAAGAGGGGGAATTGTGGGAACGGGGGAACGGACGGCGGGAAGGTATGAGGGCCCAGAAGCGCAAAGAGTGCGCGCAGGAACGGCAGTGTACCATCAAGTTGAACAGATTCACTGCTTACCGGAAAGAATCGGAAGCATTAAGGAAGTTGAGTAGCAGAAAGATGTCGTCACAGTGAAGAGGCTCTCTCTTCCTCTGCGCCACTGTGACCACCTCAAAGCCCGAGAAGACCAGCGCCAAGCAGAGCACACGGGAGGGGGCAGCAAGTAACTATGGCTTACCGGAATGAATCAGAAGCGTTGAGGAAGTTGAGTAGCAGAAAGATGTCGTCTGAATGCAAGGGCTCTCTCTTTCTGTGCGCCACGGTCACCACCTCAAAGCCTGAGAAGACCACCGCGAAGAGCGCAGGGGAGGCGGCAGCAGCGGTCTTGATTGCGCCGCTCACTGTTGTGCGCACCCATGCTGGTATGCGCAGGCAGCGCATGGAGGAGAGGTAGCTGGCTGGGTCCCTGGCATGGGATGGGGATGGTAAGGGAATAGAGAGGCATAACTAAGCAGAGACAAAAGCAGCAGACAGCTTTGATCGCTCCACAGTCACTGTCGTGCGCACCCATGCGGGTACGTTCAGGTGGCAATGTAATATCTACCGGCGTGATCTGGGGCATCTAAAAAAAACCACCCATGTAGCCAGCCAGCCATAGAAGCTTGTTTAGGCGAGCTGCAGTTAGAAAAAAACTTTAGCAAATGATAGTCAGTAGTAAAAAATTGACCCTGTTAAAAACCGAGAATCTGAAAACTGAACTCTTATTCCACTACAGGATTAAAACGCGAACATGTTTCGGTTGACTGGGACAGGCCCCAAGTCAAACCTTCATCAGCGCAAGCAGAATATAGCCAGCCAGCCAGCTGACTTTTGAGTCGACTCAAAAGTCACCATATAGCCAGCCAGCCAGCTACGGGATCAAGATTCATGTTGGGAGTAGCAGCAAACTTCTGAGAAAACGCTTAGCAAAAGGATCAAGACTTGTAAGAAAATTGTTCCTAGAAATTCAAAACGATCTCAAAACCACCCATGTAGCCAGCCAGCCAGCTACCTCCCCTCCATGCGCTGCTGCATATGGGCGCATGGAGTGGAGGAGACATGTTCTACAAATGTCAAAGTGACTCCAATACAGCATGTACAGGAGAAAACATTTGGTAAACGTTTGTTTTAACTGGTGGGCTAACCAGGAGAAGGAGTGGATGAGAGCGGAGAAGAGACGGTCTGTGCCGCCCAGCAGTGGCCGGATGTCAAACTTGGGGTTGCGCAGAAAAGACCTCTCGATGGCTGACGTCAGCAGCATGAGGAGCTGGTGGGTGGGGGGAAGAGGGAATGGAGAGTTTAGTTCAGAAAGCTGGTATGGGAGCTAGGAATGCTTGGGAATGGAAAGCTTTTAGCAAAGGAAATAAGGAGAAAACCATGATGCAGAATACATTTCTTTGGAATGACGTTAAATTACATGCTATCCCTCATACACGTTTTCAAACCCACCATCTTGTGAAGATGGTCCAGTCCAGCTGTCTCTCTATGATTCACTCCAGTGTGTTTGAAGCTCACTTAAAGTCTCACCATCTTGTGCAGGTGGTCCAGTTGTCGCTCTATGATTGGCTCTGGCTCGCCTGCGTCTGTGATGGCGACGAGGTAGAAGGAGCCTCGCACGAGGAAGAGGACCTTTGGGGAGGGGTGGGAGAGGATTGGGACAGGAGCAGTGGAGGTGTGAGGAAAGGGGGGAGCGGGAGAGGAAAACATGTGTGATGGCGACGAGGTAGAAGGAGCCTCGCACAAGGAAGAGGACCTTTGGGAAGGCGTGGGCGGGACAGGGGGTGGGATGGTAGAGGAGCGAGTGGGAGAGGAGTGGGACAGGGGAGGTGGAGGGGTGGTGGAGGGTGGGGGGATGGAGAAGGGGGGAGCGGGAGAGGGAAGCTGGTGTGATGGGGACGAGGTAGAAGGAGCCTCGCACAAGGAAGAGGTCCTGTGGTGAAAACAAGGGTGGCGGAGGCGGGAGGGGTCGCACGTGTCAGAACTTAGGCTTAGAAGCGATGCATTAGTAATGAGCATGAAGCTCTTTAAGTACATCCAAGAAGGGTAGGGAATGGATGGGAAAGGGAATCGGGGGCAATTCCTAGGGATTGGGGGTAATCCCAAGGCAATCTCCAATTGGTGGGTTGGAGATTGCTTGGAGATTACATTTGGGTTTGGTTGGGATGTAGGTGTACACCCAACCAAACACAATGTGCAAACTACACTACTCTAGGATATAGAAAATACAAAGTACAAAGTGTGAGATTGAAGGCTAACACTAACACCCCCCCATAGGCGTCAATCGAACTCAGGGCAGAGAGGGTGGAGCACAGAGCCCCATGGCGCCAAGGAGACGGTGGTGGGGAACTTTCCCAAGGGGCTTGGTGAACAGATCAGCCAGGTTGCAGTCAGATGCAACGTACTCCACTTTCAACTGCTCCTGCTGGACAAGGTCACGGATGAAGAAGTGCCGGAGTTCAATATGCTTGGTGCGGGTGTGATACACAGGGTCTTGAGAGATGTGGATGGTACTCTGGTTGTCACACCAGAGGGTGGGGGCGGACTGTGGGAAACCAAGCTCCTGGAGTAGGAAGGTGAGCCAACGGGCCTCCTGAGCAGCCATGGTGCCTGCGTAGAGCTCTGCCTCACATGAGGAGAGGGAGACTGCAGACGACCTGGTGGAGCGCCAACTGACAATTCCGCTCCCAAGGGTGAAGCAGTACCCCTGAGAGGAGCGTCTGTCGGTCTGGTCATCAGCCCAGGAGGAGTCGGTGTAGCCTTCCAGGCGAGGAGGGGAGAGCCCACCGAGTGTGAGAACGTGAGACTTGGTGCCCTGAAGATAGCGCAGCACCCGCTTCGCCGCCTTCCAGTGAAGATCGGTGAAGCGTCCAGGGGCCACGTAGCGAGAGAGGACACTGACAGGATAGGCCAAGTCCGGCCGGGTGCACATCATGGCGTACATGAGAGACCCAACAAGCTCCGGGTATGGCTCAGAGCAGGCCTCTGGTGTGGGTACAGCTGGAGCTGTGAGGAGGTGTTGCAGCGGCAGCGGGGTGGCAACAGGTGTGCACAGCTCCATCTCAAACCGCTTGAGCACATTGTCGATGTAGAACTCCTGGGAGAGTGAAATGGTGCGAACCTGGCGATCACGAGTGATCTCCATCCCCAGGTAGTGCTTGAGGTCACCGAGGTCTTTCATCTGGAGGGCCTTGCTCAGGGCTGCCTGGACAGAGGTCATCTGGGCCGAGTCCTTGGCAACGAGGATGAAGTCATCCACGTAGACCAGGATGTAGAATGGCTCAGAATGACGGCGGATGAAGAGAGTCGGGTCAGCAGATGAAGGGTGGAAGTCCAGGGAGAGGAGGACTTCTTTCACCTTGTTGTGCCATTCGCGAGGGGCTTGCTTAAGGCCGTAGACGGGGCGATTCAGCTTCCAGACAGTGTTGGGAGGGAATTCTCCTGGGAAGCCTTCAGGTCTGTCCATGAACACTGTCTCCTTGAGACGTCCTTGTAGGAAGGCGGATGAGGCATCCATGGATTTGATCTCAAAGTCTTCTCGAGCTGCAACATCCATGAGCGTACGAATGGTGGGAGGTTTGGATGTGGGGGAGAAGGTTAGGAAGAAGTCGCGGTACTGCTGCTGGGTGAAGCCCTTGGCTACGTAACGCGCTTTGAACACCGGGGCCTCGTCTGGGAGCTGTTTTACACGGAACAACCACTTGCCCCCAACGATGTTGACTCTTGGAGGTGGAGTCTCGTCGTCGAAGGAGTGGTTGCGGGTGAATGCTTCAATCTCCGCTTCCATGGCAGCACGCCATTCGGCAGCATGAGGGCCTGAGAGAGTCTCTTGGACGGTGAGAGGGATAGGGATGGTCGGGTTTTCCGTGAAGTTGAGTGAGGGTGATTCAGTGATGTCAGGGAAGATGTGCGAGAGCTGGGGAATGACTGCATGAAGATCATAAAGCTCCTCATGCCTATCTTCCAGAAGGGTAGAGGGCACATCCCCCCCGGCAGGAGGAGTCGAAGTGATCGTGGAGCAACGAATAGCCAGGGCCAGAGGAGGAGCAGGGCCGTGCGATCGAGTGCCATGGGCTACCGGAGAGGAGGGCGGAGCAGGCGGTGTCTGAGGGGTTGACTTAGGAGGCTTGGGCGGGGGAATTGGCCGCCGCTTGTACGTGATCAGTTCGGGCGGCTGTGGAGGAGCGGGTGCTTGGGAGGAAGGGGGGGCTGGGGGAGGAGGTGGGGCCGGGGGGTGCGACCGCCGATGGTATGTGATCGGTGCGCTCGGAGGTGGCGGCGCAGATGGCAGGGCGGCAGGTGAGGGGGAGGGAGGAGCAGCTGCCGAAGACACCGGTGAGGGCGGGTCAGAGACCTCAGAGGGAGACGGTGCGGTGGCAGTAGGGGTAGGAGGTGAAGGGGCCGGAGCAGGCGGGAGGTCAGGAGGAGCATCAAAGTCTGCCCACACGAGGGAGGGTGGATCAGAGAGAGGGTCCCGTCCCGAAGTGGAGTAGAATGGGCGGGTCTCATCAAAGACAACGTCGCGGCTCTGGACCAACTGTTGAGTGGAGGGGTTGAGAAAGAGGTAGTCAGGTGAGTCGGCGTTGTGCCCGAGGTAGATGCACGTCTGGGTCTTGGGACCGAGCTTGCCGCCGTGCTGCCGTCGAGCCTGAGGGTTGAGGAGGACATAGGCGGTGCACCCCCAAACGCGAAGAGAGCGAGCAGTGGGCGTTTTCCCGAGCCAGAGTGTGGTTGGAGTGGTGTCGGGAAGATGCGGGTGGGGGTAAAGGTTGTAGAGGAGGGCGGCGTGGTAGAGAGCGTACCCCCAGAGAGAGTGCGGAGCATTGGAGTGGCCGAGGAGGCACCGAGTGATCTGCACCAGGGTGTGGTTGCGGCTCTCAGCTATGCCGTTCTGCTGCGGGCTGTCAGGGAGGGTGAAGTTTTGCTGGATGCCTTCTGAGGAGCAGAAGGCTTTGAGCTTGTCGTTGCAAAACTCACCACCACCATCCGAGTGAAGGCGCTTGACTTTGCGGTCAAAGGTGGTCTGTGCCTGTTTAACCCACGCCATGAGGACCTCTGGAACCGCAGCCTTAGTGTGGAGGAGGTGAATAGAGACGTAGCGAGAGTGGTCATCGACGATAACAAGAAAGTAGCGATAACCACCTCGTGCAGGAACACGGGCAGGGCCCCAGACGTCCAGGTGTACCAAGTCCAGTGGTGCTGCTGCGACAGAGGGTGAGGCCGGGTGGGGCTGTTGACGCAGTTTGCTCTTGGTGCAGTCAAGGCACGTGGGAGCGGGGGAGTCTGGTGGTGGAGGAAGTGAGGCTGGCAGGCCGAGTAGAAGTTTCTTGGAGGCCATGTCAGCAAGTGTGCGGAAGTTTGGGTGCCCGAGCCGATGGTGGTAGAGTATGGTCGGGTTGGAGAAACTGCGGCACGAGCATGGTGAGGTAGTTGCCTCTGCTTGGGTGGTTGACACCTGTGGGATGGGTACTTGCAGCGTGTAAAGGCCGCTGCTGTTGAGGGTGAAACGAGTCAAGACCTTGTTGGTGAGTGGGTCGAGGATATCACCATAGTTCTCGTTCTCCCAGAAGATGGTGCGTAGCCCAGCTTCCTGAATTTCCGTTTGGGCCACGAGATTGTGGCGGAGTGAAGGCACGCACATTCCAGTGACAGTGCCGGAAGGGAAGGCGGGGCACGGGACTGTGGATGAACCCTTGGCAAGAGTGGTGAAGCTTGAGTCAGCTCCTAGGAGAGGGATGGGTGTTGCGTAGGGTTTGAAGGAGAGTGTCTCCTTGAGCACAGTGTGAGTGGCGCCGCTGTCGAGTGTGAACTCTATGTATTGTGGTGCTTGTGATGAGCCGAGGTACTGGGAGGAAGCTTCATTAATCATGGCAGTGCCAGGGAACAACAGGTTGATACGCACATCAGCAGGAGCACTATCACTAGCACTAGCCGAAGCGGGGTCCTGGACCTCAACCAGGTTGGCCTTACGCGCACGCATCCAGTTCGGTGGCCTCTTGTCTATGCCGTGGATGGCGTACCATTCGTCGTCCTTCTTCTTGAAGCACGTAGCAAGGGGGTGGTTAGTGCCACCACACACTTGTCCCTTGCGGTTGCCATACTTGACGACGTAGGTGCACGGTGGGAAGCGGTTGCGCTGGAAGGGCGCCGAGGCAAGGGCCGCTGCGACACTTGCTTGAGGCATGGGAGCACGGATGGCGTAGGCCTTGGCTTGAGCCGTGGAGTCTTTCTCGGCAGAGAGGAGTGCGGTGGAGACCTTGGCAAAAGTGAGGTCTTCCGCAGTCAGCGTGAGGAGCATCTTCCTTGTGATTTCGTAGGCTGTGGTGAGGCCAACAAGAAGAGCTGCTGCAGGGGCCTGTTCGGGGAAGACTATACCCAGCTCCTTGAGTTCACCATGAATGGTCTGAACCTTGGCAATGTAGTCGGCCATTCCCGAGCAATCCTCAAGGCAGACCTGGAACATGCTGGAGATGAGGATGGCAACTCCGACTGCAGTCTTGTTCATGAACCGATCCTGGAGATACTTCCAGATGGCGTTGGAGGTAGGGTAGTTATGGAACGTGTTGACAAGTTCTGGAGGGGTGGAGGCGATGAAGACGCTGATAATAGCGGCATCGGCCTTCTCCCACTTCCGGTACTTCTCAACGGCTTCTTCATATGCCTTTGTGTCAGCCTCACTAGCGGATTCGGTCGGCTCACGAGGGAGAAGGGGCTGTTTTCCCTTGCCACGGTTGAGGAGGACATCCTTGAGGTCCAATCCCTGCACGTCACGGCTCAGCAGGTGCTTGTCAACCCCATAGCTCCATGCCTTGAAGTTGGAGCTAGAGCCATCGGCTTCAAGACGGAGTGGGGTGATAGGGGTTGGCCATGGTGGACGCGGTGAAGGCCATGCTGTAGATCTCTTGGTGTCTCGCGCGAAGCGCCGCTCTTAAGTCACCGATAGGAACTTCGATTTCGAAATCCGACGGACCCCAAATAGCGAAAATCGTCAATGTCGACCGCGTCGGGATGTCTCGTAGAAGGATTTTCTAGGCCGCCAAAACTAGGTAAAATCGGCCGACTTCCGTAGATCTAACCCTAATCCCACACACCCCCCCACACACCACCCTCAGCTTCGCGGCTACGCTGCTGCACGGCTTCGCGGCTACTCTGCTGCTCGGCTGCGCTGCTGCACCTGTTCAGCTGCGGGAAAAGGGGAATGGGGGTAGAAGTGCAGATGCGGGGCGACGGGCGGCGGCCCGACGAGAAGTTGCGGGGCGACGGGCGGCGGCCCGACGAGAAGCTGCGGGGCGACGGGCGGCGGCCCGACGGGAAGCTGCGGGGCGACGGGCGGCGGCCCGACGAGAAGCAGCGGGGCGACGGGCGGCGGCCCGACGAGAAGCTGCTGGGCGACGGGCGGCGGCCCGACGAGAAGCAGCGGGGCGACGGGCGGCGGCCCGACGGGAAGCTGCGGGGCGACGGGCGGCGGCCCGACGAGAAGAGGTGACGCGGTGACGAAATTGAGAGATGACGAAAAAGGAACGATAAGTTAGAGCGACGTCGATGAGCGTACCATAGAAATTGAAGACGTCGTCGAAGTTGACGGGAAAGTGGTGCGGGGGAATTTCCGCCCACGAATGTCGCGAATCGACGGCGACGAGATTGAAGGAGGCTATGCCGAGGTTTGCGGGAAGAACATCCGCATAGATAGGAGGATCACGATCCGCATGTGCGGATGTAGAGGCTCTGATACCATGTCAGAACTTAGGCTTAGAAGCGATGCATTAGTAATGAGCATGAAGCTCTTTAAGTACATCCAAGAAGGGTAGGGAATGGATGGGAAAGGGAATCGGGGGCAATTCCTAGGGATTGGGGGTAATCCCAAGGCAATCTCCAATTGGTGGGTTGGAGATTGCTTGGAGATTACATTTGGGTTTGGTTGGGATGTAGGTGTACACCCAACCAAACACAATGTGCAAACTACACTACTCTAGGATATAGAAAATACAAAGTACAAAGTGTGAGATTGAAGGCTAACACTAACAGCACGTGCCGGACCACATAATAACGTGGGGACCCCTCCGTATGGTCGCTCGCACCACATGGAGGTTTGCATCAACCGGAGCCAACGGCAATGACATGGCTTTTGATTCGACCGGAAAATATCACCTGTTGCAGCCCAGCAGTGATGCTTCTAATGTGGTCCCTTGTCGACCCACATACGCCACCAGCAGAGCCTTCTACGTGCCCTATTGCTAGCCCTGATAGCGCGTCTAACCCCAACCATTTGCACGCACCTGGTGCAACCCAGCACTGATGCTCCTCATGTGATCTCCCGTCGACTCCACATACGCCACCAGCGCCTGCCTGCAGCACCCCTTAAGCATCCATCACCACTCCGCACCGCACAGCACAGCACCCTACCTGGCATGCATCACATGCAACAAGCACCTGGTGCAGCCCGGCACTGATGCTTCGAATGTGGTCCCCTGTCGACTCCACATACGCCAACAGCACCTGCAGCTGCAGTGCCACTTGCATACCACTCCGCACCGCACCCCACCCCACCTGCTATGGGTCTCATCACATGCAACCGTCACCTGATGCAGCCCAGCACTGATGCTCCTGATGTGATCTCCCGTCGACTCCACATATGCCACCAGCGCCTGCAGCACCCCTCCGAACGCTGCTAGCTTGTACTCGTCGCCATACCTGCAGGGTGGGGGGAGGAGAGAAGAGAGGCAAGCGTGAGGAGGGGCACATAAACAGCACCCCTCCGAGCCAACCGCTGTGAGAAGATGGCGCAAACAAGTCAAAGTCACAGGGTGGTGCCTGCCCTGAATCGGAAACGATGTAAAACAACAACTCCTGCTAGCTCTGTTTTTTTAGATTTCTCAAAGTCACAGGGTGCTGCCTGCCCTGAAAGAAGATGTAAAAAAACAACTCCTGCTAGCCTGCTGCCTGCCAATCACCGTGAAAAGACTGGTTTGCCCGCGTTGGTAACGACTAGGAAATGCCGCCCGTGCTGCCGCCACTCCTGCTGGTTCTCGTCCTGCGGTGAAGGTGAGAAAGGATATGGGCGAGGGGGTGGAATGGGTATGGTATGGGTATGGGTATCGGCATGCGCATGGGCATGGGCATGGGCATGGGCATGGGCATGGGCATGGGCATGGGCATGGGCATGGGCATGGGGTAGGCATATCCGACCTTCACATACCGTATAGCTGCCATAACCACACCACGCCTAACCGCATCGCACACCTCTCCTCACCTCATCCGCATGTGTCTTCCCCGGCAGCCAACCATGCGACCACAGCCACCCGGCCTGCCTGTGCCCCTCACCTTAGCCATACCATGTCGCTGGCACACCCTTTCCACACCCCACCCCCTCCCACGCCCCACCCATGCCCACACCCCACAACACCCCAAACCTCCCCACACCTCACCCCACCCCTTCCCACCCCTCACCTCATCCGCGTGTCTCTTCCCGGGAAGCCACCCATGCGACCACAGCGACCTGCCTGTGCCTCTCAGCCTAGCCATACCGTGTACCTACCTGCAATAGCCTTTACCCAACCCACTCCACCCCACCGCTTCCCACACCTCACTTCCTACCACGCCTCACCTCATCCGCGTGTCTTTTGCCCGGCAGCCACCCATGCGACCACAGCGACCTGCCTGTACCTCTCCTCCTCACCCCCACCCATTCCTTCTACCCATCATCACTCGTCGCTACCCCCATTCCCTCACCTCATCCGCGTGTCTCTTCCCCGGCAGCCACCCATGCGACCACAGCGACCTGCCTGTACCTCTCCTCCTCACTCTCTCACTCTCCTCCTCCCTCCTCCTCTCCTCCTCCCGTACCTTCTCCTTCTCCCTCCCCGCCTCCTCCTCCCGTTTCTCCCTCTCCCTCTCCCTCACTTGCTCCCTTCTCCCCCTTTCTCTCTTCCTCTCGTCCTCCCTCTCTACTCTCTCATCCTTCATCTCCCTCTCCTGATTTTTCCCTTTGACCTCCCTCTCCCTCTCGCATTCCCCCTCTCTCTCCATCTCTCTTGACCGTTCTTCACCCCCGATATTCCCACCCTGCTCGTCCGGCTTCCCATCCCCCACACCCACGCTTTCACCCCCTTTGTCTGCTTCGCTTCCTCCTCTTCTGTCCTCCTCTCTCCCCTCTCCTCTCCCCTCTCCTTCCTTTCCTCCTCTCTCCTTCCCTCTCTCTATTCCTCCCTCCTCGTCTCCCTCCTCTCTCCGAGACGACTCCCCTTCGCTGCCGTTTCCCGCGTTACAGTCCCTGCTGACGTCGTTGCTGACGTCATTGTTGACGTTAACGCCTAATTCTCGCAGCACCGCGTCCACCTCATCGTCGCCAATCGGACGGCTCTCCGCATCCGACGCTGCTGCCGCCTGCAAAATCGCCGAGACTATATCTGACCTCTCTTTGGCTTCTCTCCGTTTACCGGTATCCTCGCTAGAGCTATCCCCGCTATCGTCACTATGCTCAGGCGATTCGTCCGAGTCATCTGGAAGGTAACACGGTGGGTCTGACGACATTTGCGAAATCGTGGTTACAGCTAGCAACGATAGAATCCGTCTTCTAGGCGAGAAATGTCGACACTGGCGACAGGGAGGAAAGCTTGTCGAAACATCAAATTCGAAACTTCGTTACAACAAGATCCGTTCCGCGCGTTTGCAGCTGAAATATTTTTGCAACACTCCTATTGCGACAGCAGCAAAACACGCAAGCTTCCATTAGTGCTGCAAACATGAGCATATTGTTCTAAGCCATCATAGGCCATGCACTTGGACATGAGGATTCTAATGGCTTTAAATCCCAGTTAATGTACATAAGGTACATAATTCTATCGTAACACTGTACGTAATATTATGCGCTGTACAAAAGGGGATCAAGCCTCCCCCAGAGTTATCGAGCACCACGTGCAGGCACAGGCGAACCCAGCTGGAAAATGCCCTTTTTATCCGGCGGACTCCCAAATGGCCCTACCGCATCACCCCTCCTCTGTGGGGAGGTGGCTTCTGGTGACCCCCCTCCCAAACCTCCCGAACCTCCCTCTCCTCCCGAACCTCCCTGTGCGCTGCGTGAAGTGGGCGAACCAGACCGGAAAGAGCTCCTTCGTTCCAATAAACTCCCCGAAAGGCCGCCACCGCCACCGCCACCGCCACCGCCACCAACACCGCCCCTCCTCTGTGGGGAGGTGATTTGAGGTGACCTCACTCCTCCCAGTCCCCCACCCACTCGTTTTCCTCCTTCCACTCCCCCTTCCACTCCCCCTCCCACTCCTCCCCCTCTGCCCCTCTCACTCCCCCTGTCCGCCCCCCCACCCTCCTTGCGCCGTGTATCAGGTGCAGGCTCTGCAGTGAAAAACGGTCGGATGTACTTCGAATCGAGATCCTCAAAGGAAGGGCTGCAGGGAGATAGACGGGAGAGAGAGAACGGGCAAGGGGGAAGGGGCGTCTGAGGTGCCTCAGATTGCCGGCACTGCTGTTAAGCGTGCATGGCCGAATGTACATGGATTCAATGTCCTCAAAGGAAGGGCTGCAAGGATAGGAAAATGGGGTGAGGCAAGCCCGAGAGGGGGGGCAAGGCAATTGAGGTGCCACATTTCGTAGGTTCTGCCATGAAGACTGGTCGGATCGGATGTACCTGGTCCTATCTCCTGGACAACTTGTGTTCGTGTGCCAAGGAATGTGTGCGTGCATGTGCGCGCACGCGCGTGTGCGTGCGTGTGTGTCCCCGTGCGTGTATGTGTGTGAAAGTGTAGGTTCACACGTGCTCGCATTCGCATACACGTGTGACGGCAGTTGCATGGTCGTATGTATGCATGCATGTGCATGTGAGTGCGCCGCCTTTTCATACAGGAAAAAAAAAGAAACCACACAGGTACGTACTTTTCTGGCAGGATGTTGACATGGTGCTGGGAATACACATCAGCAGAGCCCAACTTCTGGGGCGAAAACGGAACCCCGTTCGGCTCCCCTCCTCCTCGCCCTCCTTCTCGCCCTCCCCCTCGCCCTCCCCCACGCCCATCACCATGCCCATGGCCGCGCGCGCTCCCATGTGTGTCCTCGTGTGCATGTATGAGGCCGTGCGTCATGCCACTGCCCTCCTCTTCTTCCTCATCCGATGTGTCATCCGGCTGAAAAGGAGTGCAGGGGATGGGAAAGCGCAAGTTTGACAGAAGAATCATGCACTGGTTTTCCATTTTTTTGTCGACTCAAAAGTTTTCCATTGCCTCTGTGCCCACGTGCGTTCTCATAGATGCCCTTGTGAGGCACTGTGAACACGTGCGTGCGTCACACGCATGATTCCATGCATCATAGCGCTCTCTACTCCTCTCCACCTCGCTCACCTTCCACCACGCTTCACCACAGCCCTCTTCACCTCGAATCATCCTTCATTATCCCTTATCCCTCTTCATCCCTATTCATCCCTCTTCACCACTCTGTATCTCTCTTCACCTCTGCTCACCGCGCTTCACCGCACCGCACCTGTCTCAACTGGCTGTATCTGTCCCCCGTCACACGAAGACGCTCCAACACAGTGGACGTGCTGCCGCCCAGAAGAATCACCTGGGAAGATGGGGTCGTTTGGGGGGAGGGGGAGAGGGGAAGATCAATAAAGGGAGGAGTCTGGGCACTTAATTGACAAACACACAGCCGCTCCAACACAGTAGGCGTGCTTCCCCCCAGAAGAATCACCTGGGGAGATGGGGTTTGGGGGAGGGGGGAGAGAGGATGAAAGGGAAGAGGAAGAAAGGGAGGAGTCTGGGCATCTGGTTGACAAAAACGAAGCCTCTCCAACACAGTGGACGTGCTGCTATCCAGCAGAATCACCTCGAGCAGCGTGAGGGGGAGCGGAGGGGGCAGGGAGGGGGGAGGGGAGAGAGGGAACTTAGAAGGAACCTAGCCACAGGCGAGGCGAGTATGATGGCGGTGGTGGTGGAGTAAGGGGGGAAGGGGGGGGTGGTGCTGGTGTGGTGCTGGTGCTGGTGCTGGTGCTGGTCATAATATTGGTGACAATGGTGGGGAAAACAGCTTTCCGATGCCCCTCGTAGTGCAGACAGCAGGTGATACGGGAATAGCTCCTAAGTCAGAGCAAGCACACTGAGCACCACTTTACATGTGAGCTTACACGTGAGCATGACAATGGCGGTGGTGGTGGGGGTGACAATGGCCCTCCCCCATGCCCATGCTTGGGCAGGCAATAGGTGATATAGGAAGAATGCATACAGCGCACTGGAAAGAGGAGTGCTTACAGTGACCATGACAAAGGCGGTGGTGGTCATTCGAAAAAAATAATCAGGCACACGGAAAAGAGGAGGAGTGCTTACAGTGAGCATGACAATGGCGGTCGTGGTGGTGAAAATCGCCCTCCCATGGCTGTGGTTGGGCAGGTCGTGAGTTGCTTGCAGGGCCAACCCAAATGCCATGGCTCCTCGCAGACCTGATGGCAGGGTGGCAGGGTAGCAGTGGAACGATGGGGTGAGATGGGGCGAGAGTTGGGGTGAGATGGAGTGAGATGGGGTGAGATGGAAGAGCAACCAAAGCGCAGGGAGAGGAGTGACAGTGAGTGATAAAATGAGTGACTGAAAGAGTGATAGGGAGAGAATTATGGAGAGGAGTGATTGCAGGATGTGACGGAGAGAATTTTTTACATTGCTTTATTATTATTATTATTATTATAAGATGTTATTTGGGGGGGAGGGGGGGGGAGAGAGGATGAAATACAGTATACAATACAAGACATCCACAGTCGTAATTGAGTGACGGAGAGAGTGAAAAAGAGAGGGCACTGACTGCTGAACCAGAGCGCCTTCTGATGGCTGTCAGGTCTTTGCTTGGAGGGAAGATTGACTCGCGACAGAGAGAGTGATGGTGAGTAAGGGATGGAGAGTGAGAGAGAGAGAGAGAGAGAGAGAGAGAGAGAGAGAGAGAGAGAGAGAGAGAGAGAGAGAGAGAGAGAGAGTCAGTGATAGAGAGTGGGGGAGGAGAGAGGGCACTGACCACTGAACCAGAGCGCCTTCTGATGGCTGTCGGGTATTTGCTTGGAGGGAGGGCGGAAGAGGTTGATGAGATGCGCGCAGGGAAACACATTCGCGGCCCTGATGGGGTTGAAAAAGGCGGGGGAGGGCGGAAGAGGTTGATTAGATGCGCGCAGGGAAACACATTCGCAGCCCTGATGGGGTTGAAAAAGGCGGGGGAGGGCGGAAGAGGTTGATTAGATGCGCACAGGGAAACACATTCGCAGCCCTGATGGGGTTGAAAAAGGCGGGGGAGGGCGGAAGAGGTTGATTAGATGAGCGCAGGGAAACACATTCGCAGCCCTGATGGGGTTGAAAAAGGCGGGGGAGGGCGGAAGAGGTTGATTAGATGCGCGCAGGGAAACACATTCGCAGCCCTGATGGGGTTGAAAAAGGCGGGGGAGGGCGGAAGAGGCTGATTAGATGCGCGCAGGGAAACACATTCGCAGCCCTGATGGGGCTGAAAAAGGCGGGGGAGGGTGGAAGAGGTTGATTAGATGCGCGCAGGGAAACACATTCGCAGCCCTGATGGGGTTGAAAAAGGCGGGGGAGGGCGGAAGAGGTTGATTAGATGCGCGCAGGGAAACACATTCGCAGCCCTGATGTGGGGGTTTGAGGGGGGAAAGGAGGATGAGATTGGAGCAAGGAAAATAGAGTAAAGAGTTGGTAAAATAGACATCTATTTATGCTAGCTGGATGGATGGTGGCATACTGGAGTGGCTGCTGGGTGGATAGAAGGACTGAGGCTGGCTAATACACGAGAGAACATTGGCAGCATGGTTATACCCCTATCTGGATGGTAAAGTAGACATGCTAGCTGGATGGATGGATGGTGGCATACTGGAGTGGCTGCTGGGTGGATAGAAGGACTGAGGCTGGCTAATACACGAGAGAACATTGGCAGCATGGTTATACCCCTATCTGGATGGTAAAGTAGACATGCTAGCTGGATGGATGGATGGTGGCATACTGGAGTGGCTGCTGGGTGGATAGAAGGACTGAGGCTGGCTAATACACGAGAGAACATTGGCAGCATGGTTATACCCCTATCTGGATGGTAAAGTAGACATGCTAGCTGGATGGATGGATGGTGGCATACTGGAGTGGCTGCTGGGTGGATAGAAGGACTGAGGCTGGCTAATACACGAGAGAACATTGGCAGCATGGTTATACCCCTATCTGGATGGTAAAGTAGACATGCTAGCTGGATGGATGGATGGTGGCATACTGGAGTGGCTGCTGGGTGGATAGAAGGACTGAGGCTGGCTAATACACGAGAGAACATTGGCAGCATGGTTATACCCCTATCTGGATGGTAAAGTAGACATGCTAGCTGGATGGATGGATGGTGGCATACTGGAGTGGCTGCTGGGTGGATAGAAGGACTGAGGCTGGCTAATACACGAGAGAACATTGGCAGCATGGTGATACCCCTATCTGGATGGTAAAGTAGACATGCTAGCTGGATGGATGGATGGTGGCATACTGGAGTGGCTGCTGGGTGGATAGAAGGACTGAGACTGGCTAATACACGAGAGAACATTGGCAGCATGGTTATACCCCTATCTGGATGGTAAAGTAGACATGCTAGCTGGATGGATGGATGGTGGCATACTGGAGTGGCTGCTGGGTGGATAGAAGGACTGAGGCTGGCTAATACACGAGAGAACATTGGCAGCATGGTTATACCCCTATCTGGATGGTAAAGTAGACATGCTAGCTGGATGGATGGATGGTGGCATACTGGAGTGGCTGCTGGGTGGATAGAAGGACTGAGGCTGGCTAATACACGAGAGAACATTGGCAGCATGGTGATACCCCTATCTGGATGGTAAAGTAGACATGCTAGCTGGATGGATGGATGGTGGCATACTGGAGTGGCTGCTGGGTGGATAGAAGGACTGAGGCTGGCTAATACACGAGAGAACATTGGCAGCATGGTTATACCCCTATCTGGATGGTAAAGTAGACATGCTAGCTGGATGGATGGATGGTGGCATACTGGAGTGGCTGCTGGGTGGATAGAAGGACTGAGGCTGGCTAATACACGAGAGAACATTGGCAGCATGGTTATACCCCTATCTGGATGGTAAAGTAGACATGCTAGCTGGATGGATGGATGGTGGCATACTGGAGTGGCTGCTGGGTGGATAGAAGGACTGAGGCTGGCTAATACACGAGAGAACATTGGCAGCATGGTGATACCCCTATCTGGATGGTAAAGTAGACATGCTAGCTGGATGGATGGATGGTGGCATACTGGAGTGGCTGCTGGGTGGATAGAAGGACTGAGGCTGGCTAATACACGAGAGAACATTGGCAGCATGGTTATACCCCTATCTGGATGGTAAAGTAGACATGCTAGCTGGATGGATGGATGGTGGCATACTGGAGTGGCTGCTGGGTGGATAGAAGGACTGAGGCTGGCTAATACACGAGAGAACATTGGCAGCATGGTTATACCCCTATCTGGATGGTAAAGTAGACATGCTAGCTGGATGGATGGATGGTGGCATACTGGAGTGGCTGCTGGGTGGATAGAAGGACTGAGGCTGGCTAATACACGAGAGAACATTGGCAGCATGGTTATACCCCTATCTGGATGGTAAAGTAGACATGCTAGCTGGATGGATGGATGGTGGCATACTGGAGTGGCTGCTGGGTGGATAGAAGGACTGAGGCTGGCTAATACACGAGAGAACATTGGCAGCATGGTTATACCCCTATCTGGATGGTAAAGTAGACATGCTAGCTGGATGGATGGATGGTGGCATACTGGAGTGGCTGCTGGGTGGATAGGATTGCCTCCGGCTAATACACGAGAGAACATTGGCAGGCCTGCTCACCATCTTGTTATACCCCTCCCACCTTGCTACACCCCCTCCCACCTTGCTGCACCCCCTGTCACCTTGCTGCACCCCCTCTCACCTTGCTACACCTATGAAGATCTGGCGAGAGTGCGGAGGAGTTGGGAGGCATTATGATGATGAGTTGGCCGTTGTGAAGTTGGCCGTGGTCGATACGTCAACACAACGGCGCGGAAGCAGTGAGGCATGGGAGGACGCACAATATGCGTACATGCACGCACGCACGCACGCACATGCACACACACACACACACACACACACACACACACACACACACACACACACACACATATGGACATGCATGTCACATGCGCATGCACACAGGGACAACAACACACACACACACACACAGGCATACACATGCACAGCACACAAAGAGTATAGTTGAACGAGAGCAGCAACTAAGAGCAGCAATTAAGGTCCGCGACTAAGGTGGAACTAAACATTCTGGAAAACAAACTGGAACGCGGAAAAAGAAGCCCCCTCTACCCCATGCCATCAATGCCAGCGCATGCCAGCACATGCCAGCGCATGTCAGCGCATGTCAGCGCATGTCAGCGCATGCCAGCACATGCCAGCACATGCCAACAAATGCCAGCCCATGCCAGCGCATGCCAGCGCATGCCAGCGCATGCCAGCGCATGCCAGCGCATGCCAGCACATGCCAGCGCATGCCAGACACATGCCAGCACATGCCGGAAACATGCCGGCACATCCCAGACATATGCCAGCGCATCCCAGACACATGCCAGCACATCCCAGACACATGCCGGCACATCCCAGACACATGCCAGCACATCCCAGACATATGCCAGCGCATGCCAGCACATGAGCTCACAATGGAGAAGAAGATGAAGCTGATGTGCCCCCACCGCTGGTGCTCCCCCAGAGCAATTTCCGTTCCCATGTAGATGAAGCTGGGGGGGAGGAGGGGAGGAAGGGCGGGGGGGGAGGAGGGGATGGAGGGAGGGAGGCTCAGGGAATGAAGCTGATGTGGCCCCACTGCTGGTGCTCCCCCAGAGCAATTTCCGTTCCCATGTAGATGAAGCTGTTGGGGAAGGGGGCGGGGGGACAAGGAAAGGGGTGGGGGAGGAGAGGGGTCGGGAGGCCAGCCAGGGAGGGAGTGGGCTGAGCCAGTACTCAAATACCACTGGTGGGAGGGAGAGGGGAGGGGAAAGAGCCATGGAAGGGGGTGGTGGTGGGTGGAGGGGTGAGGAGTGGGTAGGGAGGTTGAGCCAATACGTAAAGACCACACCGCTGGTACCCTTTTGATGCGACTCACGTGAAGGTCTCAGCGATGGAGGCGATGAGCTGGAAGAAGCCGGCGGAGAGGATTTGGGAAGTAGAGGAGACATACTAGCACCACGAGGGACACTTGCTGACCTTTTACCAGTACTGAAGGTCTCACCTCGAGTCACACTTGCTGGTTGAACCAGGAAAGGAGGGCCCACTCACGTGAAGGTCTCAGCGATGGAGGCGATGAGCTGGAAGAAGCCGGCGGAGAGGATTTGGGCCACCTCTGAGAGATTGGGGAAGGTGTATCGCTTCATGAGCTGGGGGGGGGGTGTGGAAAGTGGGTGGTTGGGGTGTGAAATGTGTGGAACGGGGGTTATGAGGGTGGGGAGAGGGGGGATGGGGGGTGCGGAGCAGAGAGGACTTGGCCCATCTCGGATAGGGAAAGGGGGTAGGGGGGTGGCGAATGCGTGAAGTGGGAGGCACAGGCAATGCAGAGCGGGAGGACCTGCGCCACCTCTGATAGGTTGGGGAAGGTGTATCGCTTCATGAGCTGGAAGGGATGGGGAGGGGAGGAAGGAGGGGTGGGATCGAGGAAGGACAGGACGGGAAAAAGAACAAATGAGTCATCAATATGAATATATATGTATGTACACATACAACACATAGAGATTAAAACATTAGAAGCAGAAAAGGATGTGTAAGGCTTAATGAAAAGCGTGAGAGGACATTATAAGCAAATGGATGAAGAATCATTTGAGTCATGTAGAGAACCCGGAAGGAGGAGGGATGGGGGAAGGGGGGAGTAGCATAAAACAGGTGTGACAGGAGGGTATAAAGGGAAATGCAGAGGAAGTTGCAAATGACGGACTTACAATTCCACAGAAGAGAATGGCAACGATGCCTGAGAGTGCAAGACCTTCTGCCACCAAGTAGCTGGGAGGAGGTGCAGATGAGTGGAGAGGGGCAAAGAGGTGTAGAAAGGGGCAGAGGGGGCAGAGAGGGGGCAGGAGGGCCTTGGGGTTAAGAGAAACTGCAATCGAACGTGAAAGATTTGGTACATGTGGCCGGAAATTGGATGTAATAGTAACTTGTACGTAACAAATTGTACACAGAACACTGCATGTGTTAGTACAGAGCAAACTTATTATACGTGCTGGAAGTTGGATGTTGCACCATGCATGTGTTAGTACAGAGCAAACTTATTATACCTGCTGGAAGTTGGATGTTGCACCATGCATGTGCTACAGCCATGGCCCACGGGCGGAGCGTGGGGTCGAGATGTTGACGCGGAAATGTGAGGCAGAGGAAAGGGGGAGGGAGGGAGGGCTCACGAGATGTAGGGGAAGAGAACGATGAGGCAGCACTCTAGGTTGTGCAGACTGTGAGGGGGGCAAAGGGGGGAGTAGGAAGGAGGTTAGGAGAGGGGGGAATGGAGGGGGGGGCTGGCATACTTGAAAGGTGCTGGCTGGATGAAAGGTGCTGTATGGTGCAGGTCGGATGTTAGGCAGCAAGCTGCAACGGCAGACTGATACAATACGGTTCAAAGTTCAGGCTGATACACGTTTGCGCCCTCTGGCAGCAACCTAATACGATACAAGCCGCAGAGCTCACGCTGCGGCAGAGCGGACTCACTTCTTCACGGAAAGCCCGGCATACTTGAAAAGGTGCAGGATGGTATGCCGTATACAGCAGCAAGGCAGGTCACACATGGCGGCACAATGGAGTTAAGGAGTAACTTCGGTTTCCACCAAATCATTTCCACGGGCAACAATCGAGAAAATAGAGTGAAGACGAGGAATGTGAAGGAACAGCAAAACTTGATTCAAAACTACCACAGATGCGCTCTCTGGAACTTCATAAGAATGCCTCAACGTCTCCCATTCTAGCCTTTCAACAAACATCTCAAGAAACGAGACATGCTAAACCACATTCAACGACTTCAGAAAGGGGAAAAAACCGGGAGCTATGTTAAACGACAAATATGCTGCAGGAATGGTGGTGTGAAAATGAGGAGATATGTGGAGTGGGTGAAGGACAGCACAGGGGCGGAGGGGCAGCTTCTAAGCCACGTGATGTGTGGAAGAGATGGGAGGTGAAGGACGAAATTGAGGGGTTCTGAGAAGTCTCAAAACGTGATGGGTGAAAGCAGGCAGAAGAAGAGGAAAGGGAAGTGAAAGGAAGCTGGTGAAGGAAGAGACGAAGGGCGAAACGTGAGAGGAGGAAGTTGGGTCGAAAGCGCGTTTCGGAGGATATGAGAGCAGAGAAGAGAGCCACGGCTACTCCTGCAGTGGAAAGATGGAAGAGGGCAGAGGAGAGACAACGCAGCACAGGGAAAGGGAACGGTACAGGAGAACAAATGGCAAGAGGCGTTTGAGACAGTTCTAGGGCAGCAAAGGGAGCAGGCAGGGCAGCAGCAGCTACTAAAAATACAATGGCGGTTAGGAGAAACGACAAAGAAGATGAGAAAAAAGAGGAGGAGCAAAATTGGCTTTGGGTGGGGAAGGTTGGGGGGTTGGAAGATATGTGGGGGTGTGCAGCGGAGGGGGAAAGAGGGAGAAATCGTGTTGAAATTACGAAAAAAGGAGGGGAAAGAAGAGTGATTGTAAGTAGTCAACAAAAACACTGAAAAGAAAACGTATATACCACCGTACAAACATACCAATGGAGGTGGAGCCTGCAAAGGTGATGGCGGTGCATTGGAAGGCGGCAGAGCTGACTTTCGTACTGTGATGTGAAGGCTATGCTATGCACAACACATAGCACTTGCGTACGTACTAACATACGTACCAATGGAGGTGGAGCCAGCAAAGGTGATGGCGGCGTATTGGAAGGCGGCAGAGATGCTTGGGTCCGCTGTAGGGTTGCGAATGATTGTCATCACGGTCCTGTGCGGTTGGAGGGGGTGGAAAGAGGAGCTGACTGGGTGAGCTGCTAAGAACTGTAATTAACACATTAATGTGGGTGCATTTTCATGCTCACATACGTGCATTACTCATACATTTGCATGCACGCATGCATACATACATGTGCATTTGCGTTGCATGCATACATACATACATACATTGCATTTGCATTGCATGCATACATGCATACATGTGCATTGGTAAGGAGCAGCATAAAGCAGCTGCTCATGGTCTCTCTCACCTGTACATGGTAATGGCCACCTGCCAACACATGCATGTAGTGTAGGTGCATTTGCATGGCCGCATTCGTTCACTACTGGTGCATGCATTGCATGCTTACATGCATACATGTGCATTAATAAGTGGCAGTGTCTCTCACGGTCTCACCTGTACATGGTAATGGCCACCTGCCAACACATGCATGTAGTGTAGGTGCATTTGCATGGCCGCATTCGTTCACTACTGGTGCATGCATTGCATGCTTACATGCATACATGTGCATTAATAAGTGGCAGTGTCTCTCACGGTCTCACCTGTACATGGTAATGGCCACCTGCCAACACATGCATGTGCATCAGGGATTGCACGCGCATACATGGACATATGCAGGTGTGTGCATGCATATGCACAAACATATGGATGGACATGCACGTGCACACGAATGCACACAGCAGGGCATGCGATGCACAAGCACAAAGCAGAACCGATCAACTGTGTCAGGAAATACAGAATCACAGGTAAATCACAGGGTGTAACGCAACTGAGAATCCTAAAAATCCAGCACGAATAGTCATTAAAGCAAGATAATCAAGCTACTAGAACAAGAACTCACGCACAGAAAGGTCCCAAGAGACACCGAAGAAAACAAACAGCATAATCGAATCAATGGCACACGATGTACAAATGTGAATGAACCACCCCACTTCCACATCCACGTCCGCTTCGGATGGATGTATGTATGTACCTTGGCTGACATGCATCTAGGTCTTGAATGAACCATACATCCATGCAGTAGGAATGTACATACCGCGTTGGCACACATTCTAAACATGTGTGAAACACCCACCCAGCCACCCACCCACCCACAAATGTACGTACCGCGTCGTTGAGCACCGACTCGCCAAGCACAAGCGCAGTGGTGACCTTTGAGCACCGTAGTTGAATCGACTCAAAGGTCACGACGTGTGTGATGTGAACCACCCACCCACCCACCCATCCACCCACCCACCCACCCACCCGAACCTACCCACACACCCCCTTCCCCTCCCCCCCCCGCCCGCCTGCCCGCTCACGTACCGCGTCGTTGAGCACCGACTCGCCAAACACAAGCGCGTAGAGATTCGTGTCCGCCCCCACGTCCTGGTTGGGATGTTGTTGGGAAGATGCAATCATGCAAGAGCAAAAGAGACAGGCGCAAGTTGGCTTTTGAGTCGACTCAAAAATCACCTCGTGTAGAGATTCGTGTCCGCCCCCGCGTCCTGATTGCGATGTTGTTGGGTGGGAATGTAAGATGAAAGGGCCATCCACATGAGAGGAGGGTGTAAGTGAGGGGAGAAGGTGCACAGGGGGGAGCGGGGAAATCAAATGGGATGGGACGACTAATGGACAGCAGGTTATGGAGCAGTGAGAAGGTGGAGGGCCAGCCGGCATTTGAGGCGTCTAGAAAAAAGAAGGTTATGGAGCGAGCGGTGAGAGGGGGTGAAAACCAGGAGAATTGTTGACATTCACCGCCAGACAAAACAACTGGAAGGATAATGGCAAGGGCTGGTGTGCTGGTTTTTTTTGGCACCATGCGCTTGTGTGTGGGGCCGCTACTCGGTTGGGGAAACGAGATGAGGGGCTTGTGCATGGTGCACACTGCATGAGCTGAGCTACAACAGCTCTTTTGAGAGATTTCCATAACTGGCGTGGCGATGAGGTGAGGGGCTTGCAGCTTGCTTATGCGGCACTCAATCATTCAACAGATCAGCCTGGTCCCTAGCAACATGCTCTGAATAGCTCCACCTTCCCCAGCCCCCACCTGGAAGATGGCGAGCACGGCGACAGGATCGGTGGAGGAGATGAGGGATCCAAAGATAAGTGCTTCGAGGAAGGAGAGCTTGTACATGAGGAAGAGGAATCCGCCCACGTAGCTGTGGGGAGGGGTGGAGAGCGGTACAGAGGGGGATGCTCTGAGAAAGAATGCATTCCAAGAAGGAGAGGTTGTACATATGGAAGACGAATCCGCCCACGTAGCTGCAGGGAGGGTTGGGGTGGGGTGGAACAGAGGGTGGATGGGGCACATAAGAGGGTGGACGGAAATGGTAAGTGCTGCAGAGAATGGAAGGAGTGATTGTACATAAGGAAGAGGATTCCGCCCATGTTGCCGCATGGAAGGGAATAGGTGCCTATGTTGGGAAGAAACTGGTCGCATTGCACATGATGACAAGTAGGTATGATGGACCGATGGACTGAGAGCTACATGGAAATCACTTTAGAAATTTCTCAAAAGGGATTGTGAGCTTACATACATCAACCCTTGGCCAAGCAGCAATCGGTTCCTTCCGGACGCTTCAGCTTCACACTAGGCGGATAAAAAGAAAGGTATATGTCTTTGACTACCCTCGCTCCAGCAGCACTCACACGAGGATGCCGTGTGTGACAATGGCAGAGAGGAAGGTGCCGAGACAGGCTCTTGTGTGTTTTTACTGTGTGACTGTGTGCCTCTTTTTCAGGCTATTTCTTGGGCGTTTTCACAGGCTCTTTCTAAGGCAGCTCAGAACACAACCCACCCCAGCAGCACTCACACGAGGATGCCTGTGACGATGGCTGAGAGGAAGGTGCCGAGACATGAAAAGGTGACTATGGCTCCAAAGTTGTTGAAGAACGGCTTCTGTGTTGGGAAGAGGGGTGGTGAGTGAGGCACGCACGCGCACACACAATAAGAGATTGACAGAGACGGAACAGTGGCTCTAACGTCGTTGAAGAACGGCTTCTGTGTGCGGGAGAGGGAGGGAGGAGTGAAGAAGAGACACATGTGCAGTCACACACACATGCAGCATGGCAGGATGGCAGCACAGAAAGCATAACAGCATGGCAGCATGGCAGCACTCACTCACCACTTGAAGGCTGAAGCCAGACCCAGTGCGGAAGCGAAAGAGTGCACCATACCATAACCCATGAACGACATTTGGGGCACCTCACAAGCCAGCATGACAACATGGAAGCATGCACGCACTCACTCATTCACTCACTCACTCACTCACTCACTCACTCGCTCACTCACTCACTCACTCACCACTTGAAGGCTGAAGCCAGACTCAGTGCGGAAGCGAAAGAGTGCCCCAGAACCATCAACAGGCATTGCACGGGCATGAGCCATGACCAAGAACCGCGCGCACCCAGGCATGAGCGAGCAGTGAAGGTAAGTTAAGGACAAACAGATCGCCAGGAGATTCTTCACGAAACTTTGCATGATAACTTCAAATAGAATGAAATATATAAAAATAAAACAAACAAACAAATATCTGAGCACATTGGCAAGTCTACATGAGAAATGCTGAGGATATGGAGAGAGGATATAAAGGAAACGGATTCCTATTGAGGGTAAAAGGAGAAGGAAGGAGTTTAGGAATGATGAGTGGGCGGATATAATATGATCGGCGGAAGTAGAAAGAGCATGAAAATCTCCTCCTTGAATCCAAGCCAGTCCCTGCAGTTCAGTTCAAAGAAGCAGACAACACAAGGCGACAGCAAAGATGGTGGAATGTGAAAGGGAAGGGCAGGGTGAGCTCATAATATAAGGGGACTGCAACTAGACTCATCAGACAGGGGGAACACACATGGTCAATCTATCGCATGATGTTACTTGCATCTCGTCAGACGAGGAGAATCTTACAAGATTTTGAGGAGACTGCACCTGGTCATTCCATGACACTACACGTACAGCCAGCCCTTCCACACATATCCAGTTCTCCTTTTCACCTGACCCTTTGATTTCACACACCTGACTTTTCACCTGAAGCTCCTCCCCCACCAACCTGCCCTCTCGCCTGAAGCTCTCCCCCCACCAACCTACCCTCTGATACTTCCCTTCCCTTCCCACCTTGTCCCCTCACCTTGACCTTTCACCTGAAACTCTCCCCCCCACCAACCTGCCCCCTCACCTCAACCTCTCCCTACCCAACCTGTCCTCTCACCTGAAGCTCTCCTGAGTTCCTCGCCAGTTGCCCACGGACCCCACCACGAGGCCTGGCGATGGCACACAGAGGGAGGGGGCGCAACGGGGGGAAATGGGGGAAAGGGGAGGAGGGGGGAAAGGGGGGGAGGGGGAAAAGGGGAGGAGGGGGGAAAGGGGAGGAGGGGGGAAGGCGAGAGGGTGAGAGAATCCAGTTGCCCACGGACCCCACCACGAGGCGTGGTGTTAGCACGCAGAGGGAGGGGACGCAAGGGGGGGAAATGGGGGAAAGGGGAGGACGGGGGGAGGTGAGAGGGTGAGAGAATACAGTTGCCCACGGACCCCACCACGAGGCGTGGTGTTAGCACGCAGAGGGAGGGGACGCAAGGGGGGGAAATGGGGGAAAGGGGAGGACGGGGGGAGGTGAGAGGGTGAGAGAATTCAGTTGCCCACGGACCCCACCACGAGGCGTGGTGTTAGCACGCAGAGGGAGGGGACGCAAGGGGGGGAAATGGGGGAAAGGGGAGGACGGGGGGAGGTGAGAGGGTGAGAGAATACAGTTGCCCACGGACCCCACGACGAGGCCTGGCGTTGGCACGCAGAGGGAGGAAGGGGGGAAGAGGGGAGTAGGGGAGGGGGAGAGGTGAGAGGGTGGGAGGATGCAGTTGCCCACAGAGCCCACCACGAGGCCTGGCGTTGGCATGCGGAGAGAGGAGGGGTTGAAGGGAGTGGAGGCAGTCACTTTACGACCAGACCAACGCCCAGACAAACAGAGACGCAGAGACGCAGAGACGACTCTCCGACGACGCAGAGTCAACGCACCGATGAGCAGCGCGGCGCTGGCCTCGTGGATGTAGTACACCTTGCGACGTCGCAGGATGTGTCCGACGACGAATGCGACCATGAGCATGGCAATCTGCAGCAAAAGCGACAGGCTCGCGAACGCCTCCGCCTTCGTCGCCGACACCGGCGGAGCTGGCGCGCCCGCCATGGCGGAAGATAAGCTGGCGGAGTCGTTGGCGGAAGCGGAAGGGGCAGCGGCGGGGTGTGCGGAAGCGAATAGGGGGAACTCTTTCATCTGACGAGTGGAGTCGAGGAGGGGAAGGCCGAGCACACCATTGGCGCCAAGATCAACGGTGGGATCGGTGATTAGAGCGGCCAGGAACAACATCGACGGTGGAAATCGCAAGATGGAAAATGAACCAAGAAATAAGGTGATCTAGTCGCGACGCGTGTGGACTACACTCCCCATTCAGAGCCTAAGCGCAGCGGTTATTTCTAAAAAATAACTAGGATATTATATCTTCACGCCTGTAGAGAGGACGATAGCTCCCGTATCTTGGACACGCGGGGTCGGGCCGCGCCCCCTACAAGCCCGTAGTAACGCCGAGACGATGAATACGTGCGAGAGGATGATTACAGAAACGAGACGACGAGAAAGAAGCTGAATCGGCCCAGGCTGACGAGTAAAATCCGAAAGCTAGTCGGGTCACTAACTGAAGCTGACGTGGATGGAGACGTGGAAGACGACGAGTGCAAGAAGCAGACACCCTTCACCCAGAAAGACTATCGAGAATCCATAAACATCAAATGAAATAGCAGAACACAAATTCAACGGTCCAATCCAAGAATGTGATGGAAGAAAGAGGTTTAGGAGGAACAAGAGTTGCAGTTTCGGCGACAATGATCGATACCCGAAATGGTTACCACGATTGCCGAAACGTGAATTCTCTTTGGCGACTCTCAGGACGCGGTGAAAGTGACAAAATTGGAGGATCGTGAGAGAATATCGACTCTCGCGATCGCTTTGGGGAATTGATCGGTGAAACGATGCACACCCGGCGTTGTAACGATCGGAAAAAAATGTTGAGCGCTATGTTCCATTCGCCAGGATCACTTTGGCGCGCAGAGGTCACACGCTTTATACAATTTCGTACAAGCACGAGTGCGAAATTCGCACTTCACAGGGCAACCTGGTCGGCGAATCGATGGCTCTCTGAAATGTGAAATTTTTGCGACTCATTTCACCCGCTTAGCGAAACACTGTCAAGTCGCAAACATTTGGATCAGTCATCACTGTAAGCTCGGTTCGTCGGCATTTGCTTCCCAGCGATGCCGCGATTGATAGACGATCAGTCGTCCTGTCTGAATGTATGTGTATTTTGTCTAAAATTGTCACTGTAGCTGGGTTACTTGTATGTAAACAGGGTAACTAATCCGCACATCGATCGCGACAGACGATCGATCGCGACAGACGATCGTTCTACTTTCACCGCGTCCTCACCGGAACAGTTTGCGCTCTTGGCTTCCCTTCTGTACTGGAGATTGCCGTGGTAGAAACAGGATCTGGACCGTTCAAGTTGTCACTTCTCCACATGGTTGGGAATCCGGACCTGTCTTGAACAAACGCACCAGCACGTGTGACGACAGAGCGCGACGTGATTGGTGCTCAGAAGGAAAGGCTGACAATGGTTATGGTAACACCCCATACAAGAATTCCCGGATTTCAATATATTTAATTGCCTCTCTTCTGAAGTTGCGCACTGTGTATTTTTGTTTCTATTCAAAATCAATCCAGTTCTTCCAGTACACATCAGGAGATTGCATTTCTATTCCATAGCGTGCTTCCCTGTATCGAGGTTCCCTAACTTTATTTCGCCACCACCCTTCCCTCCGTATCTGCCGCCGTTTGCGCTCCTCCTTATTCCGTCTCCCGCCATGGCCAGGAGCCGGGCGTTCAGCAATGTCGCGAGGCGGCTCGCGCTTGGCTTCACAAATCTCCAGAGATTCTCCGCACCGCCTTCGCTCCCACAGTTAGCGTCTCGCGCCGGATCAGCGACATTGGTAACTCCTCACCTCTATTTCGCCAACGAGTCGCACACCGCTAGGCTGCACACTCATTCTTCGCCGGCCCTCCCTATCGTGTCTCCGAAACCCGCAACCTCCACCTCGTTATTGTCACAAATCCCCCAAACTCGCGTTCAACCACCGTTATCACACCCTCCCCTATCACGCGGATTTGCCGGGATATTAGTCGAGCTGGGTCTCGTCCCTCCCCCGCCTGACCACGGCGAGGAGGAAGCGTGGAAAAAGGAGGTAATTAAAGCCGTCCTTAGGCCCGGATCGGGGAAAATCCAAGCTAAGAAGGAGCGGCGATTAGGGAGAATACCAAGCATAGTCTTCGAGCAGGAGGACGGGCATCTGGGCGGGCGGAAACGGCTGGTGTCCGTCGATCGCAAGCAGATCGGACGGCTGGTGAAGAAGTTCGGGCGGCCGTTCTTCGTGTCGCAGGTGTTTGACCTCGAGATTGCCGCGGAGGGCGCGGAAGCGGCGGAAGGGGAGGCGGAAGGATTAACGGTAGAGGGCGCTCGCATGAGAGTGATTCCGAAGCTGGTTAGTGCCTGTACCTGTTCGGATTCCGCTGGTTTTTAGAATTATCAGAAGTCCTCTGCTGCGCTCTCCGCCCCCTGCTTCCTCACCCACCCGGACTCCCAACCCCTCCCCTCTCCGCACCCCCGTCCCTTCCCCCCTCTGCGCTGCTCTTTCCTGCATGGCTCTTAGCCTCGTGGCTCTTAGTCACCGACCCCATCCTCCCCCCATCCTCCCCCCATCCTCCCCCAATCCAAATCTCCCCCAGGTGCACTGGCATGGAGGCACGGACGAGATTCTTAACGTGACTTTTCTCAAGCTGCCCGAACGTGAAAGCGCACGAGTTAAAGTGCCCGTGCCTTTGGTTTTCGTGGGTGAGGATGCCTGCCCAGGCATTAAAAAAGGTCAGTGGGACATGACATGGCAATAGCAGCGCAGGGAAGGGCGGGGCAGGGCAGGGAAGGGCGGGGCATGGCAGGGCATGGTATGGTTTGATATGGTATGGTTTGGCATGATATGGTTTGGTACGGCATGGTTTGGTATGGAATGGTTTGACATGGGATGGTTTCGTATGGGATTGTTTGGTATGGGATGGTTTGGTATGGTTTGGTATGATATGGCTTGGTATGGTTTGGATTGGTATGGTTTGGCTTGGTATGGGATGGTTTGGTATGGGATGGTTTGGTATGGGATGGTTTGGTATCGGATGCGTTTCAAGCCTCTTTGTCCAGTCTGACATCCCGCTTCTCTAATCCATTCGTTGCTTCCTCTTCCTCTCCATCATGCCCTCTCCACCATGCCCTCTCCACCATGCCCTCTCCATCATGCCCTCTCCACCATGCCCTCTCCACCATGCCCTCTCCACCATGCCCTCTCCACCATGCCCTCTCCACCATGCCCTCTCCACCATGCCCTCTCCACCATGCCCTCTCCATCATGCCCTCTCCACCATGCCCTCTCCATCATGCCCTCTCCACCATGCCCTCTCCACCATGCCCTCTCCACCATGCCCTCTCCACCATGCCCTCTCCACCATGCCCTCTCCACCATGCCCTCTCCACCATGCCCTCTCCACCATGCCCTCTCCACCATGCCCTCTCCACCATGCCCTCTCCACTATGCCCTCTCCACCATGCCCTCTCCACTATGCCCTCTCCACCATGCCCTCTTCACCATGCCCTTTTTGCATCCGGAAGGAACGTCTCCTCCCTTCTACCCTCCAATAAATGGTTGGCTCTACACCATGCTTCGCACCCTCCCCTTCCCCGGCGCTTTGCCTCTTTCCCTGTCGCCTACAATCCTCTTCTTTCAAATCTGCTCTTTCTCATCCTTCCCTTCTCTGCCCCTGCCAGGCGGTTGGCTCTACACCATGCATCGCACTCTCCCCTTCTCCTGTCTTTCCTTTCACTCTCTTCTTCCTCTTTCAGTATGAGTTTTCCCTCATCCCTCCCCACCTCCCCTGCCAGGTGGTTGGCTCTACACCATGCGTCGCACTCTCTCTTTCTCCTGCCCCCCCACCTCCATCCCCCCTTTTGTGGAGATAGATCTGTCAACGCTGGATGTGCCTGGCGGCTGTTCAGTCTGTGACCGTTCTCCCTCATTCCCCCTTCTCCCACTCCCCTTCCCCATCACCCCTGCCAGGCAATTGGCTCTACACCATGCGTCGCACTCTTCCCTTCTCCTGTGCTTCCCCTCTTTCCCTTCTTTCAGTTTTCATCTTCTTTATAAATTACATTTCCCCCCATCCCTCCCATCTGCCCCAACCAGGAGGTTGGCTCTACACCATGCGCCGCACCCTCCCCTTCTCCTGCCCGCCCTCCGCCATCCCCCCATTCGTGGAGGTAGATCTCTCAGCGTTGGATGTGGGCCACAAGATCACCCTTGCTGACGTGGCAAGGCAGGTGGATCCACGGCTCAGATTGCTCCTGGCAGATGTGTCTCACCCCGTCTGCAAGATAGCTGGCAGCAGTTTTCATCTTCTTTATAAATTACATTTCCCCCCATCCCTCCCATCTGCCCCAACCAGGAGGTTGGCTCTACACCATGCGCCGCACCCTCCCCTTCTCCTGCCCGCCCTCCGCCATCCCCCCATTCGTGGAGGTAGATCTCTCAGCGTTGGATGTGGGCCACAAGATCACCCTTGCTGACGTGGCAAGGCAGGTGGATCCACGGCTCAGATTGCTCCTGGCAGATGTGTCTCACCCCGTCTGCAAGATAGCTGGCAGCAGTTTTCATCTTCTTTATAAATTACATTTCCCCCCATCCCTCCCATCTGCCCCAACCAGGAGGTTGGCTCTACACCATGCGCCGCACCCTCCCCTTCTCCTGCCCGCCCTCCGCCATCCCCCCATTCGTGGAGGTAGATCTCTCAGCGTTGGATGTGGGCCACAAGATCACCCTTGCTGACGTGGCAAGGCAGGTGGATCCACGGCTCAGATTGCTCCTGGCAGATGTGTCTCACCCCGTCTGCAAGATAGCTGGCAGCAGGTCACTGGCCAAGGAAGCAACACCCGCTTAGAGCACTGAGTGTACGGTAGCAATATGATGTTTCTTTACAAATGTTGGATTGATCATTCGAGTGCGAGCACGGTAGTAATGGTACCGTCCTGTACGGTACTACCGTATGTGGTTTCATTAGTCCTGATTGTAACCCAATTTTCACAAGCAACAAGAAGCCCTCAGAAGCTTATAAAGCTGTTACCATACTACGGTACTCTTAACAAGCTTATAAAGCTGTTACCATACTACGGTACTCTTAACAAGTTTAAGCATTAGCAACCTGTCAGGCCCAAGTTCTAACCCGTTACAAGTGCTTATCTGGGCGAGCGAGACAATGAAGGTGAGGTGATGCCTAAAACTTAACTCCATCAGCACAAGAGGGCTGAGTGCAAGCAAGGATTTTGTTGAGGAAACTGACGAGTGCAAGCCACAATGGGAGCAGCGATGTTTTAGTCAATCCATCTCCTCTACTCAGATCCCTTCTACAGTATTATAAGAGAGACTCCTGGTTCGCTATCAGCAGGAGCAGCCCCTGCTGCCCCAGTAAGATCTCGTTGAGAAGGCTGACGTAACGAGCGCCGCCAGCCACACTATGGGGGCGATGCCTTGACAGATCTCCATTCGTTATTTCTAACACAACTCCAAAACCTTTGACGATTACAAGAGAGACTCCTGTTTCGCTATCAGAACGAGCAGCCCCTGCTGCCCAATCAAGATCTCATTGAGAAAGCTGATGAGTGCCAGGCTCCAAGCCACACGATGGGGGCGATGTCAACCCCCACAATGGGCTGGATGACGGCTCTGGTGATGCGGAGAATGGTGATGAGATGAGTGCAAGCCACACAACGGGGCCAACGATGCTATCAGTCAAGTCAATCCATCTCCTCTACTCAAATTCCTTCTACTACAATAGAGACTCCTGGTTCGCTATCAGAACGAGCAGCCCCTGCTGGCCCAGCAAGATCTCGTTGAGAAAGCTGATGAGTGCAAGCCAGACGATGGGGGCGATGTCAACCCCCCCAATGGGCTGGATGATGGCTCTGGTGATGCGGAGAATGGGCTCCGTGGGTGCATATGCGATGATGAAAGGGAACTCCGACACTGGGAGCTGGAGGAGGGGGAAGTTGAGAAGGAGGGGCGGGGGGGTAAAGGGGTGAAGGCTCAGGTGATGCGGAGAATGGGCTCCGTGGGTGCATATGCGATGATGAAAGGGAACTCCGACACTGGGAGCTGGAGGGGGGAATGGGGGGAGTGGGGGGAGAGGGAGAAGGGGGGTGAGATGGGCAAACCACTGATGGGCTCCGTGGGTGCATAGGCAATGATGAGGGGAGCTCGTCAGCCATGAAGACTCGGCAAGCTGCAGCATAGGAGAAAAATTATAGCAGAAGAAAGAACAGGAGAGTACTACTCCTTGTTGTCAGTCTCAGAAAAAAGCTGGATTGAAACGTTTTCATGCTCTAAGTCCACTAAAAGAGATTAATACGCAAACATGTCTCGGACTACTGGGACAGGCCCCATGTCAATCCTTCATCAGAGCTAGCGGAATAGGCGATGATGAGGGGAGCTCGCACACTGGGTGGTCGAGAGAAGGGGAGAGGGGTTAGGAGAAGAGAAGGATGGGGGAGGCAATGAGGGAGGGGAGGAGGGGGTTAGGAGGAGGCAATGGAAGAGGGGGAGTTAGGGTGGGTCACGCATACTGCAGGTAGGGGGGTTAGCATGAGTAATAGGCTGAAGCTCGGTGCGTGCATGGGAGATGAGATGATGAAAGGGACGATGCATGGGGAGACTGGGAGTCAGAGGGGGGGGAAGGGGGGAGGGAGTGCGTGGGGAGGTAAATCGCACACAAGCAACGTGTGCATCATCAGAGGGCTGAGGATAGGCTGGGTGGGTTGGGCTGGGTGGGATGGGCTGGGTGGGCACATAGGCCTGGGATGATGGAAGGGAACTCACTGGGAGCTGGGTAGGAGTGGGGGGGGGGGGGGGAGGGGAAGGGGAGAGAGGGAGGAGTGGGGGATGAAGGGGGGAAAAGGGGAAGAAGGGGGTGTAGAGTGGAGAGAGGGGGAGGAGAGGGGGTTGGAGGGACGGGAATCAAGCATAAAGCAGTTGAATTGTCGACAACCGAACACACTGATACTCTTTACGCAAAGCCTCTACACCCAAGTACTTTACACGCCACTCGTATGCTAAACCCGGCCTACTGTCACATCTGGCGCTCTCAGGACGTCACCATGACATCACCATGACATCGTCATGACATCATCATGACGTCATCATCACATTCTATCCTGCGTACCCTCCTCACACCCACCGCTACAAGATTCCATCCTTACAATGACACCTGGGGGTAGCATAACATGACGACGCAGAGGATAGGTTGGAGCCTTCCCTCCCTATAGTTACACCTGACCTGATAGCACCATGACATCATCAATTTACACTCACACTCCTTATGTCACAGCCACCTGAGGGGTACCACGATATGACAATGTGGAGGATAAAGAACAACCCTAGCTCACACGGTCATTTGCCAACAGCCACGCCACACATACCGTGACACCATCCCCTCCTTACAGTCACACCTAATTTGAGACCATTCCCTCCGTACGGTCACACCCACCTGGGGGTACCACGACATGACAATGCGGAGGATAAAGAGGAAGTTAAGTGCCGCGAAAAGCGGACCCAGAACGGCACCCACTGCTGACGCCGCATCCGGCGAAATCTCCGCGATCACCGCCGCGTTTTGCACTACGGACGCAAGGCCCTCGAGTGACACCGCAGACGCCGACGACGCGAGGAGAAGAGAAGCGGAACAAGCGGCGGCAGTCGCGGCGGTGATTAGCGAGAGAGACGGCGACTGCTGGTTATTCAATGCTGAGCGAGAATCGGATTCGTCGGCTTCGTTCGCGACGTGACGATGCCGTTGGATCAGTGATCGGACAGTCAGCGGTTTGCATGACAGCCTGTCAAATGTTATTATAGGTTCTTAGGCTACAGTGAGTAGCACTCTAGGGAGTACAACCCTTTTTAGTTTTGAGTACTTGTATCCCATCTTGCTAGTCCCAAACCATTTCGTTGCATTCTATTTTTGAGATAGTATCACGAGTAGGTTTAGAATCCTTGCCTAGCCTAGCCTAGCTCGCGCCCTCGAGCCCCCCGCGCCTTACGCGCCCTCCGTCACACGCCCTAGCGCCCTCCGCGCCCTAGCGCCCTCCGTCACGCGCCCTAGCGCCCTCCGTCACGCGCCCTAGCGCCCTCCGCGCCCTAGCGCCCTCCGTCACGCGCCCTAGCGCCCTCCGCGCCCTAGCGACCTCCGTCACGCGCCCTAGCGCCCTCCGTAACGCGCCCTAGCGCCCTCTGTCACGGGCCCTAGCGCCCTCCGCGCCTTACGCGCCCTCTGTCACGCGCCCAAGCGCCCTCCGCGCCCTAGCGCCCTCCGCGCCCTAGCGCCCTCCGTAACGCGCCCTCCGCGCCCTCTGTAATGCGCCCTCCGTGCCTAGCCCTCCCCTACGCGCCCTCCACGACCTCCGTATCGCGCCTCCGCCCCAGCCCGTCGCGTAGCCCGTGCGTCCTACCCTAGCCCGTCGCGTAGCCCGTGCGCCCTGCCCCAGCCCGTCGCGTCGCCCGTGCGCCCTGCCCAGCCCGTCGCGTAGCCCGTGCGCCTTGCCCCAGCCGTCGCGTAGGCCGTGCGCCCTACCCTAGCCCGTTGCATAGCCCGTGCGCCCTGCCCCAGCCCGTCGCGTCGCCCGTGCGCCCTGCCTCAGCCCGTCGCGTTGCCCGTGCAGAGCAACGCGCGCCCCTGCAGTGTAGCGCGCACCCACGTACAGGGCAGCGCGTGCCCTAGCAGTGCAGCGCGCGCCACCCGGGCATAGCAGCACGCGCCCCTGCCCAGGAACGCGCGCCCCTGGCCAGACATGCGCGCCCCAGCACCTCACATACCTTCCTAGCCGCCCACACCTCCTCCTAGCCACCCACTGGCACCTCTCGCAGCGGCTGGCACCTCTAGCGCGCCCCGGCACGTAGCAGGTCGTTCTCGGGTTTTCTCACCGTCGGTTTTCCCGTTCTCTACCGTTCCTTCATTGGGTTCACCGTTCCGCCGCGGCTGGAGGCTGCTACTCCTCGCCTAGTTTCACCTGGCGCTCCTAGTTGTTCTCGCTCCTCGCTCCAGCCGCTCCTAGTTTCTAGCCTGCCGTTTCTAGCTCCGGCCGTGTCTCACTCCAGCCGTTTCTGCTCCAGTCGCTTCTAGCTCAGTTTTCTCCGTGCTCCGGCCGTTCCTCGCCTAGTTTCACCATGGCGCCCACTAGAGTTCTCCAACAGCAGGGACAGCAGCAGCGGTCGTTTCAGCAGTGGGAACCTCAGCAGCAGTGGCGCCCTCAGCAGCAGTGGCACCCTCAGCAGCAGTGGCGCCCTCAGCAGCAGTGGCGCCCTCAGCAGCAGTGGCGCCCTCAGCAGCCGTGGGGGCCTGGTGGTTCGGGTAGCGTTGGCTGCAGCAGCGGCCCAGCCAGCTGGGGGGCTCGTCGCGGTGGTCGCGACGTCGGCCCCTGCCAGTACTGAATCCTAACTGGCCCTGGTGCTGGCACTACCTGCTGGCGTCCTGACCACTCTGCACAGCGCTGCTACAGTCGCCTCGACGACCCTTACCGTGAGCGTTTTGGGTCTGAGTCGAGGCCACCGATCTGGCCCGGTCTGTCTCGTAGTGGTTACCCTGTGTTTCATATGTCTATGGATGCTGGTTATTCTGTCACGTATGGGTCTCTTGGCTTGCGTGTACCCAGCTTAGGCTCTTTGCCTATTGATAGTGTAGGTACTTGTCTTTTTAGTGTAGGTGCTTGTGTAGTCACTAGTCCAGCCGTGACGACTGCTGTCGCGTCGCTCTCCTTCACGCTGGACTCAGGCGTGTCGCAGTGCTTCTTCCGCGACCACACCACTGTCACACCTCTTTCGGCTCCAGTCCCAGTTGCCCAGGCTGATCCTAGTTCAGGACCAGCAGTCGCTCGCAGCTCGACCACTCTCCCGTGCCCGGCTGTCCCTTCTGGTTTCCTCACTGGTCTCTACATCCCCTCGTTCTCTCGGAACTTGGTGGGTGTTGGATACCTTCAGGACCGGGGGATCACAGCCACTTTTCCTGCGCACGGGAGGACTGCGATCTGTACTGACGCTTCCACCGGGGCACTTCTTGCCACGTTCACCAGGGAGCCCCACTCAGGTCTCTTTGTTCTGCACACTACATCCTCCCAGGTAGCAGAGTCCGGTCAGGTGACTGCGTCCCCCTAGGTAGCAGAGTCCGGTCAGGATACTGCGTCCCCTCCGGTTGCTGTGTCTAGTCAGGTTGCTGCGTCTGGTCAGGTTGCAGCGTCTGGTCAGGTTGCTGCGTCTTGCTCCTGTCCGTCTCTCGCCCACCTGACCGAATGTGACACCACCGTCTTGGCCACCCGTCGATCCCCTGCCTCCGCAGCATGGCTAGTCACAGTCTTGTCTCAGGTCTCCCACGCGTCTTTCCGTCGCTCCCTCCCTCGCTTGCTCCACCTTGCACTCCTTGCGTCGCCGCGCCACTCCGCACTCCTCCTCTCTTCGTCCGGCCACTGCTCCCTTACAGACTCTCCACTTGGACGTCTGGGGCCCTGCCCCCATGCTGGGACCTGACAGGGAGCGCTACTTTCTAGTGGTCGTTGACGACTACTCCAGGTACACCACGATGTTTCCTCTCGCGAAGAAGTCCGAGGTGACTTCTACGCTGATCCGGTGGCTTCTGACCACTGAGGGCACTCATGGTAGTCGTGTCCGTTGTCTCCACTCCGACCGTGGGGGTGAGTTTTGCTCCGGCGTCCTTGCCGGGTTCTGCGGCGAGCAGGGCATCAGACAGTCCTGGACGCTGCCGGGGTCCCCACAACAGAATGGGGTTGTTGAGCGCCGCATTGGCTTGGTCATGGACATCGCCCGCACGTCCATGATCCATGCCCGTGCGCCCTGTTTTCTGTGGCCCTACGCGCTGCGCTACGCCGCACACCAGCTGAACCTCCAGCCGCGTGTCTCGCGGCCAGAGGTTTCACCGACCAGTCTTTGGACTGGGTCCCCTGGTGTTGGGTCGGCCTTTCACGTCTGGGGCTGCCTTGCGACACCTCTACGGACAAGCTCTCGGCTCGCGCCATCCCCTGTGTCTTCCTTGGTTTCCCGGTGGGCTCTCCCGACTACTCCTTTTACCACCCGCCCCTCCACCAGTTTCTCGACTCTCGTGACGTCCGGTTTGACGAGTCCGTGTCCTACTACACCCGGTACCCCTGTCGAGGTCTCCCGGTTCCCCCTCCCCCCCTCTTC